CTCTGATGGGTACCTAACTCACATTAGGGAAAAAATAAATTTCAACAGACATTAATACAAATGTGCTTACAAGTGATAGGTTAATAATGGTGGATTTATTGACATACATTAACACAAATTTGCCCACAAGCGATAGGGTAATAATGGTGGATATATTGGCAACTAGACATTTGGTACAGTTAGTTTGATAAGCACAAATAAATAAACCGGGAGTGATCTCCCCTAAACTTTCTCGAATATTCTAATATAAAATTACGAGGGATGGCAACTCAGGACATAGACAATGTTTGTTATCCATTTTTAATTACTTAAACTTTTTATATAAGAATAGAATCTCGTAAAAAAAAAGGAATTGAAGTGAAGGAAGTGAAAAGTTTCCCTTTCAAACCTGACGGTCTATGGGGCAAGTGAAGTAGAGTTCACTTGTTTCTGTGACCTCGGCGTATGAAGAGATAGTGTGGTCAGCACTATGCCCAGCCGCCTTTACTTTCCCTAACAGGAGTTAGGTACTTTTCAGAGTTGGGTGGACTCAGCGACAGTCTACTGACTTGAACTCGGATTCGAACTCGAGACTAACGGGTTAGCAGTCCATCTCCTACCGCTAGACCACTCCGTCCCACACCAAGTGAACACCTAATAAAATGTGTATAAAAGTGCGGGATATTGTTAGTACTTTATAAATTTACATGCGTTTTTTTTGAGAAATCGGTGTGAAATTTTAGTGTCATTTAATTTTACCTAGATCTAGACTCTATCATTTATTTTCCACATGCCGTAACAATTAGGAGGAAACTCTTCCTTTTAATTTATTTTCAACATTATACGCATGATTAATATAAGAAAAATTATTAACATTTTTGCGGAAAATGCGAAACTATTCAGATGCAAATCAGTAGACCCCAAGTTTTAAAAATTCTTCTAGATCTAGATATAAATCTAGACTTTATTAAACTCTAGATATTGATTCATGGATCTTGACCAGGGGTCTCCAAACTACGGCCCGCGGGCCGGATGCGGCCCGCGAGGTCTTCTCATCCGGCCCGCGGAGATCATTTTATCCACGGAAAAAAATTATTGTTGGAGGTGCCTGAGGAACTATGCCCCGAAAATTCAAAACAATTTGAAAATAAAGCTTTGTGTGCAAACACCGTTGCCCGCCATGTTGTAGAAATTGGTGAAAACAGTGTGACTCAGCAAAAAATACAAGCAAGTTTCGCCATTTTTCAATGGAGGCGAGCGAGTTGACGAGATTCCGTCCCCAATGTTGTTGACATGGAATAAAAACGTGCTTTTTAGATTTAGACCGTAAAAAAAAAATAATAAAAAAAAACTTAAGCCTAAAATTAATTTAGAAATGTTATATTTTTAGAATAAATGCTATAAAAGTTGCAAATCCAGAGAACTTGAAAATAATTTGTTGAGTTTAAGGCTACATTTCTATTTATTTTCATCAAGCCTAAGTTATAACCGGATGTTTCACTTTCGTAAGACAAATATTGATTGGCTGTACAGTAACTTAGTGATCGATAACTATTTGTTTACAAAACTTTGCAGATCAAGTTTTTAAATGACAATGCAAATTTAAAACCCCATGACCTAGTTTTCTATTTTTAGCTTACAATGTGTACAATAAAATCAATGGCGGCCTATCCAATAGCAGGATGCCATTGTTTATGTCGCCATTACACGTGAAAACCAAATTGTTTTTGCTTTTTTTTTAATTTTTATTTAGTTACCGAAAATATTATAAACATCAAATACATCCAATCTTTAGTAAAGTCCGAAAAAAACCAGATAGACAGGATTTTATAACCATATTAATTGTAACTACGCTGTGCATGATTTTTAAATGAATTTATACACCTCTCAAATACCTTTGAGACTTTTCTCGCTGGTGTCCATTGCAATGGATGAGTCTCAACCGCTTGTGTTCATTAGAGGCGTGGAAGAAGACATGAACATAATACAACAGCTAACTTCCCTATAAAACATTTATTGCACTGTTACCGGAGAGGATATATTCGATTAGTAAAAAAAAAAAAAAATTTGCTGATTATAACTTGGACTGGACTAACCTCAGTTACCTAAGAATTGATGGAGGAAAGTACATTAGTGGCATAAAGAAAGGCTTTATGAAAAGCAAATGAGAAAAACATTTTACTAATTAAATTTGTATATATTTCTATATAAATTATAATTCATTGGGGGGGGGGAGGTAGACGTTCTTCGGGGAATGTGTGTGTGGGGGGGGGGGGGGTCAGCCACCCCAAAGAGATGCCTGAAAGAAACTGGCCCCCGAACTGATATTTGATAGTTAAAGCGGCCCTCGGGCTGAAAAGTTTGGAGACCCCTGATCTAGACTCTAGATCTAGATCTATAAATCTAGATCTAGTTACTACCACCCCGGAGGCGTGGCTGGACGCTATCAACAATACGGCGTACAAACCGGATGCATGACTTCCAACGATTTTTTCCTCTTAGTTCCAGAGACCTTCATAGAATTATTTAAAAAAATGTTTACCACGAGCAAAATGGCGGGTTTTCGTGTGATAAAATATGCTTTAGGTGGCAAGGCTTAATATGCCAGAAAAGCATTTTAAAATATCTTTGGAAAATGAAGGCTAAATTTAAAAGTTGGTGACATTAAAAATAATAGAACCTTCTAATATATCGACACGGGAAGTACAACAATGAATTGGAGTCTGCAGAACTATTAGGTTTCTCAGTCTATAAAAAAAAGTCAATCTATATCTATAATTCTCTTCATTTGGACCATGCGAGACACCTAGACTACATCCCTACGACCCCTTCCCCCCCCCCCCCCCGGGGTCTGGTGAGCTGTTTACAATCGTTGTGACGGCTATTAGGGGCAGATAATTTAGTTTTTAAACGATTTGGAATTTGGAACTAAGGGGAGATAATAACATGTTCTGCTTGCTCTTTTCATTGTCGCCTGTAAACTGTCGTCACAGACGGCTGACTTCACGGAGGCGGAGTTGGGGGTGGTGGGGGGGGGGGGGGTGGGGGGGGGGTGGGGAGACGAGTGGAAAGTGAGGTTGAGGATATCCATCCTTCACTAGCTACTAATAGTGTTTTAAAGCAAAATATTTTCAGTTGCAGCATTGATAGTGTCGAATTCACTAATTATGAATTACTAAAAAAAAAAAATAGGAATTAAACTAAATAGCGGCGTATGCTACGTCGCGGGTCAGCTCGTAACATATAACTGAATTACCAGGATAGTACATTCTTACATTCTTACGTTCCCTCAAGTTTGGCCTGACTGTACAATTTTTGTCACAATAGAAATCTGCTAGTTTAAGGCGTATGTTACTATGTTATGCATCTCCATGCGCATTTTCTGCAGGAAGGGCCTATATTTATAAATGTTGGAAAACTGCAGCCCTAGATTTCTTATTAAAAATGTTTGGGTCAAATTATTTATAAAAAATGTTTGCATCATACATTGACTTTCTTTTATGTCCTGTTTTATAGGTCCTTGATTATAACTACTATAATGGTGAATAGATGTATGTATAATAACAGTTGTTTTTTTTTTTTTGTTTATTTTGGCCAATTGTTTCGTCAATTTTTCATTGTCTAGGGGTGATACTGCCCTCTTAACTAGAACCTGATGATTAAAAAAACCATGTCTATGTCCCGAGTTGTCATTCCCCGTAGTGTTATATAAGTATAATTGGTAAAGTTTAGAGGAAATCACTCCCGCTTTATTTTTTCATTCAGTTATGCATATTTTTTAATGATTGAAAAAAACGTGTAAGGAAACCATGTTTATCATCAAAATAAGAACATAGACTAGATCTATATAAATCCAGTGATAAAAAGGCCCAGTGGCGTAGTGAGGTCGGGTGTCACCCGGTGCCGGCACTTAATGTTGTCACCCCCCCCCCCCCCCCCCCAGAGGCGTAGCGACCCTTCCCGGAGACAAACTTTCAATTTTCGATTTGCACCCCCCCCCCCCCGCAGACTTTCGATTTCCACCCCCCCCCCTCACATTTTCTCTATATATTTTGCTATTTTTGCCTCGGTGTCACCATCCCTAATTAGTGTCACCCGGTGCGGTCCGCACCCCCCCCCCCTCCTAGCTACGCCTGTGAATAGGCCTAACATTCACCTGTACAGTGTTCAATCACCTCAATCAACCCATCTTAATTTTAAATTTATAAAAGGTAGGGCAAATTTTATTGTCATATAATTTTACCAAGATCTAGATCTAGACTCTATCAGTTTATTTTCCACATGCCGTAACAATTAGGAGGCAACCCTTCATTTTAATTTTCAAAATTATACGCATGATTATGTTGATTAATACAAGAAAAATTATTAACATTTCGGCGAAAATGCGAAATTATTCTAACGCATTAAAAAATAAATACTGATGTTTTTTTTAATCAGAAAACAGTATGCCCTAAGTTTTAAAAATTCTTCTAGATCTAGATCTAGATCTAAATCTAGACTCTATTAAACTCTAGATATAGATTTACAGATCTACATCTAGTTACTATTGCTTGCTACACCGTAGGCGTATCTGGTTGCTAACAATAATATGGCGTACAGACCGGATGCATGATTTCCGACGATTTTTTAGTCTTAGTTTTAAAGCCCATCTTAGAATTACGTTTAAAATGTTTACCACGAGCAAAATGGCGGGTTTTCTCCTTATAAAAATATGCTGTAGGTGGCAAGGCTTAATATGCCAGAAAAGCATTTTAAAATTTGCTTTAGAGAATGAAGGCTAAATTTAATAGTTGGTTAAATATCGACCCAGGGAGTACAAAAATCAATTGGAGTCTGTAGAACTATTAGGTTTATCAGTCTCTGAAAAAAAAAATATTGCAAACCCCTTTTTTTTATAATACACAGCATTTGAATGACAGCCAATTTTTTTTTTTAAACCAGGTGACCGCTATTTGGTGATCACTAGTGAGGAACTATGGTGCATTGCCAATTAAAAAGTCACACCGGATTCTTGGTTTGCTTCAAACGTAAGAGTGATATAACAAGTGTTGACGTGGAGAGGTGTGTCCTGCATGGCAGTGAGTGCCAATTAATATTAAATTAAGTAATTTAATTTAATACGAACTAAAAACTTCAAAATTAGTACCTAATTGATTAAATATGGATGTCTATCATTCATTGGTCATGTTTAAATCGAAAATTGAGTAGGCCTAAATTTTAGATTTAGAATCTAGATCTAGTAAGAAAAAAAAAATGGGTCAGTAGGACATTACCCCCCCCCCCCCCCCCCCACCTCCCCACCCCTTGAAGCACATACACACAATTTTGGTAATCTAAATATTGGAATTTCTATATAAAAATATGGGAATTACATCATTTTAAAGAGTTAAAAACTCCACAAAAAGATGGGTTTACCATTAGTGAATATAATAGATTGAAGGGAACACTGAGCTACATATTTAAATATATTATTATTATATATAATATATAATCATTATATAGCTCAGTGTTCCCTTCAATCTAAATTCTGCTAATTTGGAGATAGAAATAAGAGAAAACAAAATCAAAGACAGAGTTATGTAACATTGCACAGTACTACCCCACTGCTTTTTGTAAAGTATTATATTAACTATGAAAAACTACCACCCACAACCCAAATTATGGGGCGGCAATGTCAAATGGTAGAGTTTACTCCTGGTAACCTAAAAGTAGGGTTGCCAGATACCTTTCCCAAAAATACTGGACACCTTTCCATCCTTCCCTTCTCAGGTATGCCGCAAAGCAGAAGAAGGGGGGGGTAACAGAGTATTATTCATATACTTGTCCAGTATTTATATTTATTTTATCCTTGACAGTCTGCTCAAATACTGGACTGTCCAGTTCAAAACTGGACACCTGGCAACCCTACCTAAAAGTCTTAAGTTTGTATCCCTGGCTCAAGTACATTGGACGTCCCTGAGTCCACTCAGCTTTGATGTGTACCTGACTATGATTAGGGACAGTTAAAACAGCTGTTTCTTGTTTCTATACCTTCATATGCCAAGGTCACTGATACAGGTTAAATCGTCTTTGCTGCTCCATGAACCATTAGGTTTATAAGGTTACTTTATTTTTTTAATTACCCAAATTGTCTCATAAAAAACTAAATTGTACACAGTCCATCACACATACATTTATGTTTTAAATAAATTATGCAAATACTGCCTACTGGTTTATCCTATCGTGACAATAGACCACAAAATATTTTCTCGAAATGTAGATTTTTAATAAAACCTCAAAATTTTAAAATAAGTAGCTATGACTTCTTAACGTTCTTAACCATGTGAATGCAGACATCTAATTTACTTTTGAATTTTTTTAGTAATTATTTCATCATCATTACAAAATTTGTAGTTATTAAAAATGTATGCTGAAACAAATTTTAATATGTTTTATTTACAGTGCTCCAGAATTTATTTATTTTTGTACTAAATCCAATTGTTGAGGCATCCAACAAAAAATTATATTTATTTGGTGTATTGATCAATAAGGTTTTTTTATAATTTTTCCCCAGTACAGTGAAAATGGAAAATGATGAGAAACCTGTTGAAGTAGGTGACAAAAATGTAGGGAAGAAAAAACCTGATCAAGTTAATGGGGACTCAGCCTGTCAGAAAGAACCGAGCTGGACCAACCGGTTAAAAACTGGTGGTTTGATTGCAACCGGAGCTGTTGGAAGCGTAGCTGTGGCTACTGCAGTTGCTCCAGCTCTGGGATTTACTGCAGCTGGTATTGCAGCTGGTAGCATTGCATCTGGTATGATGTCAACAGCTGCTACAACTGGGTATGTTAGATTACATTGTTCTGCGACATTGGATGGTATTTCTAATTTAAATTAATTGGTGTGTAGCCATGAACACTAACATTTGTTACAAGGGGAGGCTACACAGAATTATAGCAGCTAGAGCTCCTTGAATATGATTAAAGTCATGTAATTAAAATAAAGAGGACTCATATTATATATGTATAGTTTAATATGTACTGTCCATTTACTAAATGTATGTATTGTATCAGTAGTTGATTATTTATTTGATGATCTATGCTGGATGTAGGTCCTGATTTTTTTTTCTTCTTCAAACTTGAATGGTTTATTTGTGGTGGTTTATTTCTATGAAACCATGTCATGGTTGGGGTTTGATTAGAAACATTAGGACAAATGTATCTGATATGAAATTCTTGCATTTGTACAAGTCACCTCATTACTTGATGAATGCTATAAAACATATTTATTAAAACAAAGACAATTCAGAGAGTATATATTTAAAAAAAAAAAGGTTGAAAAATATTTATTGAAATATTACCTTACAGGAAATATTTAATTAAAAATTAAACAAACTACTTATTCAAATAGAGAGTGGCTAAAAATGTAAAAAAAATACATGGTTAAATAACGCTCAGATCTTTATAAGAAAATGTGTATAAAGCTTCTACTTTGTTGATTCATTTCAGCATTACCTCTCTAAATATTTTCAGTGTGGGTATGGGCATTGTCTCTACATTACAGTCTGTTGGAGTCCTAGGATTTGGAACTGCTGCTAAAGTTCTGATAGCCTCTGGCGGTGCAGTTGCTGTAAATAAAATTATGGGAAATAAAATTAACGGAGTTGGTGAATCCCCTGAAGACCCAAGTAATCCATCAGTGTCTTGTGTGCCGAATAAGAATAGTAATAATGTTTCTAAGGATGACATTACAAAGTTAAGTGATCAGAATATAAATAAGCAGGGTACCAATTGTGAAACCCATAATACAGAAAATGAACAGAATCGACAAACATCCTTGCAATACATAACAAACATAGCTCTGCTGCCATTTGGGGGTATAGCTTCTGTTTATAGAGTTGTGGCAAGTAGAGTGATGGGAACTGGTCAATCTGCTGATGAGAATTTCCAGAAAAAATAGATGGTCAAATAATCATTTTAAAAAATTGTGTGAAACTGTTGTTCATTCAAGCAATGCATCTAAATTTGTCAGGCTAAATAAAATAAAAAATGTTATTTAGATTTAGAGATCAAATCTGTGATTAAAGATTAGAGATAAAAAATATATGATACATTGATGACAGCGGAAAAACTCACACACACAATAAAATATGTTTACTCTTATGGTAGAGTTAAAAAGCTGTTTAAAAATGTTTGGCTTTTTTCAGTCTTGGTTTATTTAAAATTAAATTAAATTTTATTTTTAAAGAATATTTTAATTCCGAAGTGCAATTATAATATGTTATTATAAGATGTTTGAATAACAAAGCTCCACATAAAATGCTCTATTAACTATACATATATGCACATTGTTTCTATACATCTTATTTATGTATATGCTGTTATGTAAATATTTATACATTAATTATTCAAATTTATTTGAAAGGATTCAAGTGATTTTGTAGCACAAGTTTTATTGATATTTTACATTTTATTTTATTTTCTAGCATATGCATTTCTCTAGGCTTGTAGCGTTCTATTTAACAGCTCTAGATTTTTATAGAGCTTCTTATTCTTAAACTCAAGCACCAAAAAAGTATCCACATTCTGTGTTATTTATGTATATATTATTATAAAATAATAAAGCAATTCACAAACTGTTTGATTTCTAGTACATTTTGTTGTTTTTTGTTTGCTCTTTTTGCTTTCTATTATATTAGTATAACATCTTTTATTTTGTAACAGAAATGTTATATTCCATTTTTTAAAACTGTCAGTGTTTGTTCTGATTAACTAAAGTAAACTAATATCTGTGAACTGGTGTTTATGTGTGTGCATGCATCTCATACCTAGAGTAGCGGTTCCTTGTACTGAATTATCTTGCAGTCTGTTGTTAATTATTAAAGCTGGACAACCATATTGTTCAGACCATCCAAGCAGAATCTATCTCTGTATGGCTAGAGAGACACTACATCAGACTGCAAGACACCCTGGATGTTCAGTTACCCTACATAACCTAGAATAAATTTCAAACAACACTCATTTTGTCCTGTGCGAATAGTTTCTAACAAGACACATTTCTTACCATGTTAGGTATAAGAATTTGACTTTTATAAATGTAATAATATAGGCCATTATGGCAGAATCTTTCAGATGTCTTTAACGGGGTTGACGTGGGCCTGCACTGATCCACCTAACTGATAATCCATTAGTGGTCGTCCATAAAGGACGTCACACTCGTAGAGGGGAGGGTGGGGGTCCGTAAATTTGTAACTGTGTGTGATGGGGGGGGGGGGGGTTCAGATGATGCGACGTCACACTTTTGCATTATAAAAAAGCAATGTTTGAAAATGAATTTTAGACGTTATTTCGTGTTTTAGAAAACTTTTAATAATTTTTTTAAAAATACTCTACATTGACAGAGTTCAGACAAGATTGTGGAAAATGTCGATGTTTTAAGAAACTGCAATTTTGAGGGGTGTTGTAGGCTGAGGTTTGACATCATTTAAGGGTGGGGGCTGGCTTTTTGTGACGGAGGGAAGGGGGGAGGTAAAAATTGTCAAAAAAAGCGTGACGTCATTTATGGATGACCCCATTATGTGACAGGGGCGAAACTAAAAGACCCCAGCACAAAATCCAACCAAAAATACATTTATTTTCCTGCACCTTCAAATAGATCTACTATACTGTATCTAATACACACAGCTGTGTTGAAATAAATCTTTAAAAATCTACACCAGCAGTAGTGTGAAAGAGGCAAATGTTCAAACCACTTCCATGACTTACTGCTCTTCTTTAAATAGTCTAATGGGGAACGGGGGTGCCCCTAAAGTTTCTTTAAATAGTTCGTACTCATAAAATTAAAATAAGTCAGTGGCGTAGCGAGGTCGGGTGTCACCCGGTGCGGCACTTAATGGTGTCACTCCCCCCCCCCCCAGAGGCGTAGCGACACTTCCCGGGGACAAACTTTCAAATTTTCGATTTGCACCCCCCTCAAACTTTCGATTTGCACCCCCCCCCCCCTTCAAACTTTCGATTTGCACCCCCCTCAAGTTTTTTCTCTGTATATTTTGCTATTTTTTGCCTTGGTGTCACCCCCCCCTAAATGGTGACACCATTTAGGGGGGTGGCACCAAGGCTAAAAATAGCAAAAATATTTTAAAAGGAGTCCGAAAAAATGTTTTTCGGGGGGGGGGGGGGGTTACTAATGACGTATGTATTCCCAAAAACCATTAATACTAGGTAGGTCGCTAGATTAAATGTCCCACCAATCAAGAAAACAGACACTTTATATGTGTTAAAAAAGTATAGATATAAGCCTCCCCCCCCCCCCCCCCCCCCACCCCACAAAAATACACACACACCATTTCTTGCTTTATATAATTGAGTTATCTCCCTTTTGTAATGGGATATAACCAAGGTTTATTGATTTTATCGAAAATATACTTGTTTCCCTTTACGGAAATCGTTTGTTAGATCTACGGCTAGGGTGGTTTCGCCGAAAACATCGCTGAAACCTAAATGCAGTTCTATTATGGTACAAAACGTTTGTGGGGTCAGCAAAATTGAAACTTACTTTTACATTTAAAAAAAAATTGAAGACTTTTTTTTTTGTTCATTGTAATAAAATGTATCATCAAACCAGAGGCGTAGCGACCCTTCCCGGCGCCCGGGGACATACTTTCAATTTGGCGCCCCCCTCGGGAGCAAATTTTCGATTTGCACCCCCCTCGAACTTTTCATTTGCACCCCCCCCCCCCATCAAACTTTCGATTTGCACCCCCCTCGAACTTTTCATTTGCACCCCCCCCCCTCAAACTTTCAATTTGGCGCCCCCCTAAGGTCGGCGCCCGGGGACATATGTGCCTCCCCGCCCCCCCCCCCCCCTCGCTACGCCTCTGCATCAAACTCAATGTTGACTGAGCTCTCAGTTTGCTGAGATGTTAATTTAAGTCATTTTTTGAAGGGGGTGGGGGCAGTGGGGAATGTAAAAAACAATCATGAAGTGTGTTGTTGTTTTTTTGTGGACAATCCTTATAAACACTAGTGTGGTAATTTAACAAAATTTATTTTTTGCAAAAATATAAAATACACTCATGCAACTGGTCAGGGGTCATCCATAAATGACGTCACGTTTTTGTGACGATTTTTACCTCCCCCCTCCCCTCGTCACAAAAAACCAGACCCCCCCCCCCCCTAAAATGACGTCACACCTCAGCCTACAACCCCCCTCAAAATTGCAGTTGAATTTTTTTTTAACATCGATATTTTTCCAAACTCTTGTCTGAAATCTGTCAAAATAGAGTATTTTAATGAATTCCTATTACAATTTATTAAAACGGTTGTCTAAAGCGCGAAATAACGTCTAAAATTCGTTTTCTAACATTTCTTTTTTTTTTTAAATAAAAAAAATGTGACGTCGCACCATCTGACCCCCCCCCCCCTCCCCTCCCCCTCATCACACATCGTCACAAAATTACCGACCCGCCTCCCCCCTCCAAGTGTGACGTCATTTATGGACGACTCCTCAGTTAATTTGCAAAAGTTACTCTTTAACAACCCCTACGAACACACCGTCAAAAATTTACGAGCCCTATAATAACCCTTACTCTTACTCCCTCTAAACGTGTGACGTAGTTTTACTATGAACAAAACAACCGTATTTAGTATCGAGTCTAGGTCTAGATAGAATCTGTTGAGAATCTATAATCTAGATCTAGATAGATCTAGATCTAGATCTACATTGTCTCTTTAGAAAACAAGTAATTAAAAAAGGTCTAGTGACAATTTTAGCGCAATTTCCTTGTGTTATCTAAAAATAGCTCTGTCGTAGCGTAAATCAAGAGCAGGGTTAGTAAAACCATTGGTTTTTATTAAAAAAAATTCAGTATTTTACATGTTTTATTTACAATAGAGTAACATGACTAAAAACCATTGCGCGCCCAGCTACCGAACGTGACGTCGCAGCCATTGAACGTGATGGCGCAGCTATTGAACGTGATGACGCGTGTGGTGTGGTTGCATAAAATGCCTACTAATTCGGTCCAAATTTTAATTAATTAAAAAAAAAATTGTGACCAAACGAAAGGATATTTTTGAAAACTTTCTTCGGCAATATTGTTCTAAATTATGGCAGGAATCGATTGGTACATGTTTCAAGTCGCTAAGTGGTCTGGTTGCCGAGATATGGGCCAAAAACTGCATTTTTTCGAGTTTTTTTTGGCTTTTCCGGGAAATCCATGAAAGAAACCCGGAATTTTTATGGCCTATGTTCATCCTCGTAACTTGCTTAACATAATTGCTTTGGAACTAGTCCTCGATATTGCTTCGTTGAGGAGGAGATACGACTTAAAGCTGCGGACACACATCCATCCACCCATTCATCCATCCATTCCCAGAAAAGACGAGTTAATAAACGCAATTCTCCAGAATGGAAATTGCGCTAAAAAAATAGAAATCGAAGTTTTATTAAAGAATTGGTAAACCAGCAATAATAGATCAAGATCTATCTAGATTCTAGAACTTTAAGGGAAACTACTCTAAAAAAGAAATCTAGGGTCAATCCTGTAGTCACGCCGAAGTGTGCAAAATTCTCAAGTCTAGATAAAAAATAATAGATGTAGTAAAAGTAAGCAAGAACAGTAGATCTAGTAAGCTAGATTTAGATCTAGATCTATATACTATATAGTAATATAGTATTAATGGCCTACTTTACTTAACTTATTACAATATAATATTAGTATTATTAGTATTAGGCCTATCATTATTTTCATTATGTATTCAAGTAGAAATCTTCTAGATCTAGATATCTAGATCTAGTTCTAGATCTAGATCTATCTACTAGATCTATGTAACTATTAGGCTAATTAAAATAATAATAGATCTATATTAGGCAGGGGTCATCCATAAATGACGTCACGCTTTTTTTGACGATTTTTACCTCCCCCCTCCGTCCCACGTCGTCACAAAAAGCCAGACCCCCCCTAAAATGACGTCATACCTCAGCTTACAAACCCCGTCAAAATTGCAGTTGATTTTTTTTTAAAACATCGATATTTTTCTAAAATCTTATGGTAACTCTGTCAAAATAGAGTATTTTAATCAATTCCTATTACAATTTATTAAAACAGTTTCAGTTAGATCTATCTAAAACGCGAAATAACGTCTAAAATTCGTTTTCTAACATTGCTTTTTTATAATGCAAAAGTGTGACCTCGCACCATCTGACCTCCTCCCCTCCCCCTTATCACACACTGTCACAAAATTACGGACCCCCTTACGAGTGTGACGTCATTTATGGACGACCCCTTATTAGGCCTAATAGTTAATGCCTAATAAAATATATAATATATATATATAAATATAAAATATATATATATATTATATATATATATATATATATATATATATATATATATATATATATATATATATAGATACAATATAGGTAAAATCACAGTTCCGGAATAATAACCGACGCTATATCGTGATTTTACCCTAATATATATAAATATATATAGGCCTATATATATATATATATATATATATATATAGGCTATATAATATATATATATAATATATATATATATCTATATATATACATGCCTATATATAATATATATAGGGCCTATATATATAAAATATATATTAAAAAAGTATATTTAGGCCTAATCTACTAATAAAATCAATATTTATTAGTAGGCTTATTATATACGCCTATTATATACGCCTACTACTTTCTATACTTATACTAGAGCCCCCATGGCTATTCACAGTGGGCTGTAATTTCATGCTAAATACGACTGGGAAAAATATTTTACAATAATAAAAGCATTTATTGTGACTGAGGACTGAGGTATAGATAAAGATAGTAGCGCTATTTAGATCTATATTGTGTTATGTTTTTATTTTAAAAATTATTATGGTTTAAGTTTAGCTTTTAGGCTCTAAATCTAAACTAGTCTAATTAATAGATCTAGTAATTTTTAAATAAATAATATTAATTATGCATCAGTTTAGTTAGTAGTTCACATTGCTATTCAACTGTCAATTAGCATTTAAAATTCGCATAGAACAAATATCAGGTGAAATAGGTGAAAATGTCAAAAGACCAGTTTTCTGATATGTTTAAACCCGCACGTACCGGCACATCAGTCACTCACAGTTCCACTCAACCACACAACTTTATGTCTAAATTGGTGTTTTTAATATAAGTCTATCAAAAACAGTCACGACAGTGAATAGCCCTAATACAGCTATTCACAGTCGACTGTGAATAGACACTTCAATAATTTTAAATTTTAATAATTGAAGGTGGTAATGCTACTAATCCCACCTGTAGTCTATTTATAGTGTTTGCTCCTAAAATACTATAATTATGAAGGCTTGGTTTGATGAGTAGGTCAACGTTTGTATACATTTCAAGACATCCCTTCAGTGTTTGATAGTGTCAGTCACAAACCAATCAAGTACATATTTTCTTTATGATTTTATTTTTTAAAAATTCTATTAAAGCATCGTACAGGAAATTTGTAATCTCATTTCATGATTAATTATTGCTAATGATAATGAAGGGAGTTCATTTTTGTCAAGACATGACACACAACCCTATATGGGCGTGGTATGTGACCTGACATATTAAAATGAGATTGTTTATATTATTCTTTGAGTTTATTTTTAAATTAAAACAATGCAACCAGCACACTGGTTGGTTCAGGCCAGGTTCACGTTCTGCTAGGGATACAAAGGGTTTAATTGAAATATCAACATAACATTTTTTTTTTAAATGATATAACAATGAATACTTGTTCTTGTTTTTCAAGTTTCCATAATGAACAGCAAGGAGAAAGCAAACAGAGGGAATGATGACAAACTACTTTTAAAACAGGACATGGCTGATCCATCACTTTCCCCTAATGACTCTTTACCATCACAAAATCTATCATCACAACATAAAACAGCTTGGACTGATGATATTCAGTGGAACCAAGTGCTGAAAAAGGGGGCTAAAGTTGTTGCTATCGCTACTATTGGCTTTGGTGGAGGCTGGTGTCTACCAACAGTAATAGCCTCAGGTTTAGGTTTTCAAGCAACTGGGATTGTAGCTGGAAGCACAGCAGCAAGCCTGATGTCGGCAGCTGCTACATCATCATCAAGGTAGATCTATACAGTTTTATATTTATCAAATTAACTGTTGGGGGGTCGGTATGGTCGGGTCGGTAAAGCTCATGGTTGCTAAAATAAACAGTCCTGAGTTCAAGTCCCGGGCAGATGATCCTCGATAGCTGGGGACAGCAACCCATCTAGGAGAGAAAACTCCAAAATCATCAACTGCTGCCTTATAGATCTAGTTTGTTCTTGGGTGGACGGAGTCTCAGGAAGCGAATTCAAGAAGAAAAGCAGGCTGAAATATGAGTCAACAGCCTATATTGCACATAACAGGTTGACATGTAATACTTAATTATGTTGTAGGAAATCTCGTCCAACATTACAATTAAGAACGAAGAAGAAGAACTCAATGTTTTATTATAAACAGTGGCGCTTCAGGTAAAAAAATGAATCCATTTCTGACTGGGTCTCCTTATATGTCAACTGAAATCCCAAATTTTAAAAGGCTTACTGTAGAAAAAATAAAAGTGATGAGCCATTGTACTGATACAAATCCATGTAACAGTAGTCAAGCTCTCTTAAACTTAAATCTGCCTTATTGACGATTTGGTTTCTAAACGATACTTTTCCTACCTGTTATAAACCTGGATCCATAGGTCAAGTATATTTCTTTTGAATGATGTGTAAAAAAATTGCTTACATATTTTAAAGGTGACAATTTCTTCTTTGTCTAACTTCTTAATTGTAATATTAAAGTGGATTTCCTCCAACACAATTAAATATTAAGTGTCAACATACTTGTTATCCACCATATGGCCTGTTGACTCAGATTTAAGTCTGCTTTACTTTCTGGATTTGCTTCCATAGCCTTCATCACCCCAACGTTCCCTCTAAGTCGGAAAGACTTGTGTGCAACTTGTATTTTGTGTGTGCAGTGTTCTAAAAGTCTTATACAAAGATATAGGCATTTTATAAAAGGACTGCGCTGCAGGTTCAAAACTACTTTGAAGGCCGCGCAACCTAGAGGGAACACTGCCTGCAAGGCAGCAGTTCTTTTGATTTGTAGTTTTCTCTCCCTGATGAGTCTCTGTTCCCAGCTAACAAGCCTGATCTCAGGGCATTTTAGAAAAGATTAAACTTTTTTTAAAAATGTGTATTTAGTTACCTGCATACCACTAAATATTTGCTTTGATACATATGATGGTTTTATGGGAGGCTTGAATAGGGTACATTCTTCTCTACTGCATAATGGGGATTCATAGACATAAAAAAATATATTTTGGCTTATAATCATTTTAGCTATTTTAAACAATAATCATATGAGCTGTTTGTAGACATGGACAAAGATAAATTTTTTTGTTAAAACTTTCAAATTAAAACAAACCAATGAGTTGTTGTTTTGTTTTTGTTTTTTTTTTAAATAATTCTCTTGTAAATTAATTTTTTTTTTAGTTTTGGCATGCCGATCATCTCAGTGCTACAGTCAGTAGGAGCAGCAGGGATGGGGGGGAAAGCTGCTCTGGGGGTTGTGGGCACCTTAGGATCTAAATTTTTGGCAGACCGGTTTTTAACTGCTACTGTACCTGTCAACTTGGACAACTCCGGTGACCAAAATACAAAGAGAGAGTTGGTTGCTGGGGAACCAGTTGAGTTGGAAAAGTCAGGGAGCCAAGAAAGAGAGCAGAAAAAAGTGCTAGTGAGGAGCAAACTTTAACTATGTACTTTATGAAGCTTTGTTTATGTTTTTTTTATGGTGATGTCCTTGTAACTTTATTTCTGATTAGTGCTGTGTTTTTTTTTGACGATATTCTTGTAACTTCAGGCATGATTAGTACTGTTTGTTTTTTCATGATGATGTTTTTGTAACTTAAATTTTGATTAGTTTTTTTTTTTTTTTTTAAATGTTTTTTCAGGCATGTTCTTGATGAAACTTCAATTTTGCTTAGAGTTGTGTTTATGTTTTTTCATGGTGATGTTCTTTAACTTCAATTTTGATTGGTGTTTAACCAGCAATTGTTAGTCCATTTTCTTCATATGTGGCATGCTCAGATATTTACACATTAAGTTAGACTTTCTGATTACATTTACATTCCAAGGGCTGTGAGCATATTATACAACACAGAAATTTGACATTTTTTATTTCACACTTGGTCCTATCTTGTGGGACCGTGTGTGTGGTAGAATGGTAGAGCATCTGTTCAGATCTTGTTTTGGCTTGTGAGTGCTGAATGTCCCTGAGTCCACCCAGCTTTAAATAGGTACCTGACTTAGGTTGGGGAAGTGAATGCTGCTGGGGACAGTGCTGACCACACCAACTGTTCACATACTGGGGTCAAGAAACATATGGACTCTACTTCATCTGCCTAATGTATCATTTAGTCTAATCTCATTCAACTTTTATACACTATTTCAAAAGAAACTCAATGACAGTGTTATTTAACAGTGTATCATTTTGCTGTGATTTAAATTTTTGTTTTACCATCTTAATATGTGCCTTAATTTTCACAGTGCAATTTCTAGATCTGATGTTATAAAACTTATTTTTTTAAATTTTATTCTTTAAAACATTTGACGCCCTGATACAAATCTCATTAAGGTGGTTATTGTATATGTTTGTGTTGTATATCTTTTTTATTAATTAATTTATATTTATATATACAATGCACATTTTTTATACAGCTTTATGTTTTCCTTTGCTAAAGTGTGGAGTTTGATCTGTTTATTATCTATTGCAAGTTTTTAATGGCATTTTGAAATCCATTTGTTGCTATGTTTAAATTTTTTTTAAATGTTTAAAATCATCTTGTGAAACATGATCACCTCAAATTTGGTATAGTTTTAGGTAATCTCCATTATTTATGTATACACACCTGGGCATTAATAATTGAATCTATTATTATATTAGTGTCTCATTTAAAAGCTTGAAATAAGCCACCATTTTTACCCATTTGTTTTTCTTATAGTTTTTGTCCACAAATTGAATTAACATGTCACACTTGTAACAATATTTTGCTCAAATAAAAAATATATATTTTATATATATATATATATATATATATATATATATATATATATATATATATATATATATATATATATATATATATATATATATATATGACATGAAAATAAATGACAATTATCTTGATAATTTCTGTTAGTCATTTTAGTGTGATTGAAATTATGTATGACCAAAGAACGCCAGTTAATGTTACAAATTATTGTTAAAAGTAACATCTGAAAACCAATAAACAAGATTCCTTGAACTAAAAGGTAACACCACTTAGCTAAAACCCCATGTAAGGGTAAATAAAATAGCTACTTTGATTTCTTACGTTGAGAATCTCTAGCTTTTATAACAAACACTGCTCTATACAATTCATGCTGCCATTACCAGTAAATCACATTTAAGTCCATGTGAACATTGTGATGATCATTAGAATGCACCATACAACTCTGATGATCAAATATATTTGAGATAAACAGTCCAAAGGCAAATTTTACATTGAAACATTGTATCCATTCTTTTTCTCTACTATTATCACCTCGAAACAGTTGCCTAGTAAAGTTGCTGACCCCAAGTGGTTTCCATATATATATATATATATATATATATATATATATATATATATATATATATATATATATAAACAAAGATATATATATATATATGCATAGATATACATATATATAGATGTAGATATGCTTAAATATATACATATTATATTATTTTTTTCTGTCAACTCATTTCATAAAATAGCTGGCTTCTCAACTTTTCAACAAATGTATAATATGCATTTTCAAGGGCGTGGGGCTATTATTATGGGGTAAATAAAATGTAAGGGGGGAGGGGGGGTAATAGACCAGAGGTTTGTGTACTAAACCTTCATTAGGTATATCATTGACATTACGGTCACGTATTAAGCCGAATATGGTTGTATTGTTTATTATCACTACATGCTAAAAAAAAACTTTTGCAGGCCTAAGTATTTTTTACGACTGATATCAAAAACCTTTCGATGACAAAACGTAAAGAAATGAGGTCAATACTATAAATAGCACTTTTTTCCCAATAGTTTCTGTAAACGAGGTGGATCGTTTAGATAGCTAAACATGGCTTGACTTGTCTGGATTCTACTGACGAGGCTTAAAAAAAAAAGGTAAATTCCTTTTTTATTTTAAACATAAGCAGAAAGCAGGGAGTTGTTTTTCCTTTTCATTGAAAACAAAAAGAAAGATGAAACAGCACTATATTTTGACCTAGTGTCTAAACGTATCCTCATACATGCTGACCTGGAGTTCAAAATAACTTTGTAGCCAATTGTAGAGTGTAGATTAAAAAAAAATATAATACGTTTTTATTTTATTTTTGCACTAGAATTGAACCAAATTTAAAACAGACCACATGAAAAATTATATAATTTATAGACTATAGGCCTATATATATATATATATATATATATATATATATATATATATATAGAGAGAGAGAGAGAGAGAGAGAGAGAAATATAGAGATAGGTATGTATGTAGTATGTAGGTAGGAAGATAGGTAGGTAGTAGATAACAGATTAGATTGAATAGATTTACTTCTTCATGGTGTTAAATGGCTGCTTATTAGAAGGATTACATAAATAAAATAAGACAACACTAGGCTACACAATATTTAGTTTATATACAAATTATTGCTTTAAATGTTTCTAATAAAGGTGTAAAAATATAAATTGTATTAACTCTATAATGATTTCTCCCCTTTACAATATTTTCAAAATCACAGTTTTTGTAGGCTTAAAAGTAAAGTTCCCTTTTCAAACCTGACGGAATGTGGATTTCCTTGTGTGTGTGTGTTTTCTTTTCTCCAGTAAAATAGTCGAAAGAGAATGAAACGAATGGTGAAACTAAATAAGGTCCTGCGGACCAAAATTTGGTCTCAGTTGATAGCTAGACCAAGAGTTTCTTCCGCTGAACCTTCAAGCTGCTCACAGAGAGATTCCTCTACATCAGATCCTGATCCTTCTACAGAAAGAAATACTTCTGGAGATTTGGGACAAGGAAACCCATATTCACCAGATACAGGTAACTAGAATCGATCCCATGGTGAGGGGGGGGGGGGGGGCTTTGGCCTGCTTCACCATCTCCTTCCACTCAGAGTTGTATGTTGCCTTTATCCATGTCTGAACTCCAAGATGCCGTGTGTCTTATCTACATCATCTATCCATACATGCATTGATCTATCTGGTGATGTGAAATTTACGTGAAGGTGTATATGTGGGACAAAGTGCTGTGTATATATGTGTGTGTATGCGTCTGTGTGCGTGCGTGTGTGTGTACACCTTATTATTGTGTGGCGAGTCTGTGTTTGTTGACATGTGTGTGTTGTACGGAGTGAACGAGTGTAATAAAGGAAGCGACTGGTCGAGTGACAGCGAGTGTGTGAGTGGAAGTAAAGAGATGTGTAGCGAGGCTGTCAAGGGTTAGAACGAGAAGGTACCATGTTGTCCCGAAAATAGAGAAATAGATTATAATTTAAACACCACTTTCACCCCTCTCTGATTTGGATTCTTCCCATATGATCTAAAAATTGCAATCTTCTTTTTTATGATAACTGAAGAAAGATGGTAAATATTGGTGGTATTTTTGCTGGATCATAGGCAACTCACCATCAACTTGGTCAGATATAATACTACACGTACAGTTCGAACACGAAGAGATAAATTAAGATGTACGAGCCGACCCGCCGCGTATCATACGCCGCTATTTAGTTGTTTTTTTTTCTACTTTTCAGTAATTTATAATTTGTGAATTCGACAGTACCAATGCTGCAATTGAAAATATTTGCTTAAAAACACTAACCCCCCCCCCCCCCCCCCCCCCCACGTGAAAGCAGCCTCCTATTAGTTACCTCCTCTAAGTTTAAAATCGTTTCAAACTAAATTATCTGCCCCTAATAGCCGTCACCAAACCCGTCTCTATGATTGTAAAATGTAAACAGAGTGAACACCGCTCACCAGATCATGTGGGGGTGGGGTGGGGGTGGTAGTGATAGAGAGGAAGAGAGGGGACTGCAAAGGCGCGCTTGCAGCTTGTTTTCTAACTGATCCCAGAAGAGAATTATATATATATAGATAGACTCGTACAGGCCCGAATAGTTAAACAATCACTCGTTGTTAAGTCGGGGTTGATCTTGCGAGTCATTTTGCGCTGGGTGTGCGGTAGTGGATGGCCAATAAAGATTTGGTTTTTGTGTTGTGTGTGCTTGTGTGTGGTCGTGTGGTAAAAGTTATTACACGCCCGACTCGATGTTCAGGGGCAAGGCAGCATGGCGCAGTTGTGTCGCTGTGCTCTCCGATACCACCAAGCTATACAATTTCTATCTTCCTAACTTTTGATCTGTACCCTTGTCCCAACAACGCATTTTAAAATATATTATACGATCAGTGTTTCTTTCTGACTTTTTAACACCGTGGTGGGGGATGGGGGACTAAATATTTTGGAGGGAGAGGGATGACTAAATTTTCCGTAGGGGGGCGGACACTGGTAAAAGTATATATTTTTATATAAATTTAATTTCGTTTGGGGCGTGTGGGGGGGTGTTCTTCAGGAAAGAAACTCTATTTACGATTAATATCACAATTACAGGACCAGATAAAACCTTATCTGCACCAGATAAAGATGGTTGGAGTAACAAAAAAATAGCCTGTGTTGCCGCTGGAGCTGTTGGTACTGTGGTGCTGGCGCCCGTAGCTGTGGCAGCAGCTGGGTTCGGAGCAGGCGGTATCGCGGCCGGGAGTTTAGCTGCAAGTATGATGTCAACGGCGGCTACATCCGGGTAAGTTGTTGCTTCAGTGGATAGGTTATACCAGTAGAAACAGACAACAAACACAGAAGGATGTATTGTTTTGTGCATAATGAAAGGGTTGTAAAAAAAAAGACGGCGTGGTCGAATGGTAGAGCTTACGACTTCTAACCTGAAAGTCTAAGAGTTCAGATCCAAGGCTTGAGTCTGTACGACGTCCCTGACTCTAGCCAGCTCTGATGAGTACCTGACTCACGTTCGTGAAACTAAGGCGGCTGTGCATAGTTCTGACCACACTATCCCTTCATATGTCAAGGTCGTTAAAAGAGATGAACTCCAATTCATCTTGGGCACGAACGGGAAAAGATTAATTTTGTGTAAAACGTTGACACGATTATAAAATGTATAGCCTCGTTTCTTTGACCGTCTAAGACTGTAGTAAATGTTTGATTTTGATGTTTTAGTGTCGGTATGGGCGTCGTGTCAGTGTTGCAGTCGGTGGGAGCAGTAGGATTTGGAGCCGCGGCTAATGTAGTATTGGCAGCTGGTGGCGCCGCAGCTGGAAGAGCTGTGGCTGGTGGCGTTGTGAATGGTGGAGGTGTGGATGGTGGAGTTGTGAATGGTGGAGGTGTGGATGGTGGAGTTGTGAATGGTGGAGGTGTGGATGGTGGAGTTGTGAATGGTGGAGGTGTGGATGGTGGAAATGTGAATGGTGGAGGTGTGGCAAGGGGAAGCGTTGCTGTTGGGGGTGTGGATAGTGGAGTTATAAATGCCATACGTGTGGATGGTGGAAATGTGAATGGTGGAGTTGTGGATGGTGGAAATGTGAATGCTGGAGTTGTGGATGGTGGAAATGTGACCGGTGGAGGTGTGGCAAGTAGAAGAGTTGCTGGTGGAGCTACCAGTGTTGGTTTTGTAACAGCCGACCACAACGACAAAGCCTCGAACAAAGCTGCCGAAGTTGGGAAATGTCAAAGTCGTCTTGATCAAAAATTGTTTTAAATAAAATGTTTGAAATAAAACGAATGCAGGATGCGGCAATAGAGACGTAACTCTTCTAAAAAGAAAACTACGTAAATAAAAACAACACTGATGATCGGTATCAATAAGGAACATTAAACGCTAATTTGAGTTGTAGAACGAATAATAAACCGTCGATTTTTATGTTTATAAAACTAAACCATCACTATTTTTGTAAAATAAACTCTTGCTATTTTTATTTTTACATGTGTTTTAGTTTGAGAATGATTGTCGGAATGTTGTCTGTATGCATTTAACTAGAATAAATTTTTACGTTTTTAAAGAGTTATATTATGTTGTTATGTGATTCTAAATAAAACAATAACACAATAATAATAAAAAGTGTGAGTTTTTGTTTATGTATTGTTTTTGTATTGTTCTTAATTGCTTGAATAAATGGTTGTCTAGCTTATACAAACGGAACGTCAATAAAAAAAAATTCATAAAAAACGTTTTAATAACAAGCTTTTATGTAATGATGCACTAAAAAGTAGAAAATAAATTATAGACTACTATTTAAATAACTATAAAGAAAAGCGTGGGTCACTTTAGTATCTATTGGATACCTTTACTAATGTTAAGGAAGACACCCACGCTTTTCTTTATAGTAATTTAAATAGTAGTGTATAATTTATTTTCTACTTTTTAGTGCATCATTACATAAAAGCTTGTTATTAAAACGTTTTTTATGAATTTTTTTTTCAGTACTTTACATGTTTTATTTACAATAGAGTTACATGACTAAAAACCATTGCGCGCCTACTGAACATCACGTTCATTAGGCGCGCAATGGTTTTTGAACGCAGCCATTACGTGATGGCGCAGCTATTGAAGGTGATGACGCGTGTGGTGTGGTTGGCTAGACATGCCTACTAATTCGGTCCAAATTTTAATTAATTCATAAAAAATTAATTAGGCATCCAATTAAGTCAAATTTAGTTTCAGATTGCATTGTCTTCATGTCTTGACCCACGTGCTAACTTTGAATCGTATCGGTCAAGTAGAACTGTCCGAATTTTCACTCCTGCGTTTCCGTCTAGACTGACGACTGACGACAGAGGAAGTGAGTTAAATAAAAGCTTGTAAAAAATGAACGTTTCTGGCAGAACAATTCTTTAGAATCGAATATTTCATTCACCCTTATCATATTCCCCCGTTTCTGCCCTCCGCACGAGGCAAATGAAGTAGAGTTCATCTGTTTCTGCGACGTCTGCATATAATGGTATAGTGTGGTCAGCACTATGTCCAGGCACCTTTGTTTCCTTACCGTGAGTCCGGTGCCTAATAGAGCTGGGTAGACTCAGAGACGTCTAGCACGCACAAGTCATTCCAGAGGCGTAGCGACCCTTCCCGGCGCCCGGGGACATACTTTCAATTTGGCGCCCCCCTCGGGAGCAAATTTTCGATTTGCACCCCCCCCCCCTCGAACTTTTTATTGGCACCCCCCCTCAAACTTTCAATTTGGCGCCCCCTCTAAGGTCGGCGCCTGGGGACATATGTTCCCCGCCCCCGCACCCCCCCCCTCGCTACGCCTCTGAGTCATTCATATCCAGCAAATTAATGGGTAGCGACAATAAAACATGACAATGTGTGCTTTGTATTCATTTACAAATTCCTCGATTCCGTCCCTTTCTATACGTATCTTTCATTCTCCAATGCCTAAATCAATATCAGGTATATACTTGTAAAACATCACTATAAAAATGCCTCCATTGTATAAACAATTAAAACATCATTAACTGTGTCGAAAGATGCTTGATCTGTTATCTACACGCTGGGCACATACACATTGAGACATGTGTTATTATACCTTTTTATTCAATCAATGATGACAACCGCGTACTTTAGGCTAGTTTCTCAAATTACGTCGTCCAAGTGAGATACGTTTTCTGTGACGGGGTCGGGTGCGGGGGAGGGGATATGTCAAAGGCGTAGCAATGGGGGGGGGGGAATATGCCCCCGGGCGCCGACCTTAGGGGGCGCCAAAATGGGTTGGAAAAAGTAATCAAAAGTTTGAGGGGGGTGCAAATCGAAAGTTAAGTTTGTCCCTGGGCGCCGGGAAGGGCCGCTCCGCCTCTGGGATATGTAAAGTGTGTCGTACAGTAAAGTTTCCTTTAGAACATGGCGGTCCATGTGAAGTAGAGTTCACCTGCTTCTGTGACCTCGGTATATGAAGGGATGGCGTGATGAGCACTATACCCAACAACCTTTACGTTCCAAAACGTGAGTTAGATATCCATCAGAAGATGTACGGAGAAAATGTAGACAATTGAACTTTTTAGAGGGGATTTCTTAATACTTCTAAATCATAGTGGTTAATTAAGCTTGTCAACAGTTGTTTTATTTGATAACACTACAACCAAGCGATGGGCCGTCAAACAACTTAAAGCTGATTGTCTTGTCCTGGTATATTTTGTCCTGAGATCATCTGTCCTGAGATCATGTGTCCTGTCACCATATATATATATATATATATATATATATATATATATATATATATATGTATATATATATATATATATATATATATATATATATATATATATATATATACATAGATCAATAATTTAACATAACTCTTTTTTTTCTATTAACGTAACCGTTTATCCAAATATGTCACTATTGTGAAGAAGAGTAACCATCCTATTCCTCTTTAAGAAAAGAAGAAAACTGCTTGTGCCATTGCATCTAGCTATTAATAGAAACATAAGTGCACACGCTTTCTTTCTTTACTCCTCTCGAGCGCAACACGCTTTCTTTCTTTACTTCCCTCGAGCGCAACACGCTTTCTTTCTTTACGCCCCTCGAGCGCAACGCGTCCTGTACTGTGTGCCATTATCTCTGGAAGTGTCGACTCAAAAATCTAGAGTTTATTCTTCTGTGTGTTGTCGTATGTACTTTTTGTATATGTTTTTTTAAGATTACCAAGCAGTTTTAGCCTAGTAATTATATTAGATTACATAGCACATCTGCATGTTAGAATTTAAATTTCTTTCATTATTCAAAAAGTAAGTTTTACACACTAGGCCTGTATGGTTTTCTTATCTAGATGTGCTCCCGCGCGTTCATAACATATTTAAACATGGCATTACCTGTAGGCCTACCATACTTTCTGTAGCAGTCTTGGTTATAATCGAGTTGTAAGCATAAAGTTAGGAGGAGTTGGCTTTGATGTTTTAAGAATTGTTTTTTATATTTATTAATAGTTATATATATATATATATATATATATATATATATATAATATATATATATATATATATATATATATATATATATATATATATATATATGTATATATATATAAAGATTTTTAGGTTGAGAGTAGAGAGATGTAAACGATAAGCAAAAGAAACCTGCTATACATGTTTCATACATATGTGTGTGTGTGTGCATACGTGCGTATGTGTGTGTGTGTGAGTGTGTATGCATAAAATGATGTTTAGTTCTGTATCGTGAAGTGTTCTAGGCGTCAAAGTATAAAAGACTTTTTGGATAATCAACTTAAAAATGCGGTAGGCTTGGTATGAATGTGAATAGTTTATTGAAGCGTATTTTACGTTCAGTTGAAAACTGCGAGCTCCTTGAAGAAGAAATAGTTTATGTAGAAACCTAAAATACGGGACTAATTACTATATTTAAAACCGAGTGAGATATTACTTTTTTTTTTAACTCTGCGATATTAGTAAAAATAAATTTATTGCAATTTTCATATAACAAAAGAAAAACAAAAAAAAAACTTTAGAGTTATTTCTATGTAGATTTAATGTGCACTAAAACTGAGATCTGTTGTTACTAGATTGTATAATAATGTTTCGATTTTTTTTTTTTCCATTAGAAATTAATGGTGGAAAAAAAAACACAAACTGGAAGAGAGAAAAAAAAATAGAAAACAATTTCGCTAGAAAACCCTGAACAACTCCACAACAGTGTCTCAATCACAAGATCAAACTTTTCTTTCACAACAAAGAAGCTCTTTGATACGATATTTAACTAATTTAACTTCAGCTACTGAACAACCAGGTTGTGAGTGCGACTATCTAGGGCTGGGCCATGCAACACAGACCCAGCAACAGTGGGGGAAAAAAACCTGACTCGGGGCCAAAGAAAAGGCCACCATCAATAGAACAGCGAGGCTGGAGCTGGAGAACAATTGCGTCTGTTGCCGTTACAGCTGTGGGAGCCGTGGCCCTGGCGCCCGTAGCTGTGGCGGCAGCTGGGTTCGGTGCAGGCGGTATCGCGGCCGGAAGTTTGGCAGCGAGCATGATGTCCACGGCGGCTACATCCGGGTAAGTCACATACAACATTGGCGTCACGATACTTTCATTGAATTTCCCGCATCTCACCGGAGTACGTCTTCTTCCCGACCCACAGTTCCCGGTCATACCCCCCCCCCCCCTCGGATATACCCCCCCCCCCCCGACATAAACCCACCGACGTAAAGCCGATGGACATAACCCGCCTGCTCCCCCCCACGCCCGCACACCCCGACCAGTGTTTCTTCCATGGGGGGGGGGGGGGCTTGAAATTTTCGGGGGGGGGGGGGGTACAATGTTGAAAGTATATATTTTCTAAGTGAATTTCATTTCGTTCGACTTTTTTCAGAAACTCTGACACCGACCTACCCCCCCCCCCCACCCCCCTCCTTACGAAATAGAAGAAATATTATATTTAAATAGGAAACATGTACTTTAACCACTGCCCGCCCCCTCCCTAAAGTTTCAAGTGCAAAATGTTCGAAAAAAACCCTAGTAACAATAAAGACTTATAGAGTCATTAGTTCTATAACCAATAATATTTTTAGAACATACCCATTTGAAACTAGGATCATACGTTTCAGTGCATTTAAATGAATTGCTTTTAGTTTATTGAATAATAGTTATATATATATATATATATATATATATATATATATATATATATATATATATATATATATATATATATATATATATATATATATATATATATATATAACGTGTTACATGTGTGTGTGTTTCTGTACTCACTTACACTTAGCATTCATTCCATCAATCCTATACTTTGTTTCAGTGTCGGCATGGGCGTCGTCTCTGTTTTACAGTCAGTGGGGGCTGTAGGATTTGGATTGGCGGGTAATGCGGGGCTAGCAGCTGGGGGCGCCGCTGTCGGTGGAGTTGTAGCACGTGCAGCGAAGGCCATTTTCGGCCAGGGAGATCAGCCAACCAAAGAGGACGATGAGAATGATGACAGCAGTGATGATACCGGTCATGGTGAAACAAAAAAGAGAAAATAAACGTGTGTAGAAGTCAATAAAAATAAAACGATGTTTTTACACTTGCAATATTTCATTCTGTTTGCGCCCGAATACCTTTTCCGTCTAGAGTTTTGAACAATGTTATATATATATATATATATATATATATATATATATATATATATATATATATATATATATAATTTATATGTAATTATATATGAATATATGTCTATACATATGTAAACATATTTATATGTATACATATATAATTTTTTTTTAAATATTTATATACATATATATATAGGCCTAATTATATATATATATATATATATATATATATATATATATATATATATATATATATATATATATATATAATCCAACGCTCATGAGCACACATAAACGCATGCAAACACAAACATCATATAATCATTCTTATACTTATTTAGAACATCTTACAGTAATCTTCTCCACCAACAAAATGAGTTGCAACTATGTACGTTTAAAATATTTCACTTAAAGATGCAAGTATTGAGGACACGGTATGGGTTCTAAGAATAACCCTCGCTTGCTGACATAACAAAATGAAACCGAAACTAGTTGCGTTCCTTGATGACGCAGACTGGGGAACACATGATCAGTTCTAAGAATAGCTTTTGGGAAATGAATTCTCGTCAAGCTACTTCACAAAACGCAATATAAGCAGGTTGTTCAGTCTTTACTGGTCATTCTTGGCTAGTAACTGGATTCTATTTTTGAGGTTTATTTCAAAGTCCTGTCACGTAAAACAGTAAGTGATATTAGTTTTAATATATATATATATATATATATATATATATATATATATATATATATATATATATATATATATATATATACATATCTATCTTTCAACATCCATCCATCCATCTATTCATCCAACTATTCATCCATCTATTCATCCATCCATCCATCCGTCCACCCGTCCGTCCATCTATCCATCCATCCATCCACCCATCCATTTATCCATCCACCCCACCCAATGGGATATAAAACTTAGGAAATCTTCCATTTGTTTGAGTCTGTAACTGTTCTAGCTGTATTCAAACTGACCTGGTAATCTACATACAAAACCAGTCCCCAATCGATAATTCCCATCCACTGATTAAAAATAGTCTGATTCAGATAAGAAGAAAAGGTGGACAGGTTTTTTTCCAAGATTCTTATGTATAGACATGCCGATTTATTTTGTGTAGATCTATGAGTTTCAATTTATGTTTCTACATATTCCTCGCATGAGAGTTTTTTTAGAGACCATAGCTGGCACAGAACAAATTATATAGATCTACCCGTTTACATTGAAATATTATTAGGTTAGGTTTTATGATTTCGTTTGTACGGCTGATATGCCATCTGGGCATGGCGTATGTTAGGTTATTTAGTTTTATCGACAAAAAGCAGGTCGCTTTATCTGGTAACATCTGTGAGTTAATCTAAAACAAATATAGCAAGAAAATGAAAAACAACACTAAATAACAACACGAAAAATAATCGGTAAAATAATATTGGCAATAAATAAAAACTAACAAAAAAATAAAAAATGCAGCCTACAAAATTTATATAAATGAAATACTGCGGGGGGGGGGGGGGGAAGAATGAAATATATCAATGTAATATAAAGGAAATGCGTAGTTAGAATCGGTTTATCAAAAGAAAATTGTACATATACAAAAAAAATAAGGAAGAGCTAAACATTTAAAAGAAATACAATAAATTAAAACATGATACATGCGTGGTATTTAAATAAATGTTGCCACATTTATAAATAACTTATCTAGAACTGAAATTCAATGGGCTTTGTTAAACATACTTCTGCTTGCGTCATAGATATTCTCCGTTGCTATTTTATAATCAGATTTAGATGGAGGAGGGTAGGGCACAAAAGCTAGCAGCTTCTAAAAGAAAAATTCCCAAGCACCACAGTAACGCATAGAGACATCGGCACACTTGTCATTTTAGCACTGTCGTGAGAAAGGATCGGCAAGCACAGAACCGAGTTGACAGAAAAGCTTTCGGTGGGCGGCCTGTAGGACTGACGGTTAACAGGTATTACAGTAGAGCTTGCTTAAAGCACAACAGGAATATAAATACTCTAAAAACAAATTATAAGGAAAACTAAATGTAAAATGAGAATAGAGAATGTGGAAGACCGTTCGTTTGCTAACAGCACAGTCTTAGTTCAGTTTCCGAATCCACTTTAACTCGAATCCGGGAAAGTAAATATATATATATATATATATATATATATATATATATATATATATATATATATATATATAATCTGCTCCGTTAATTGTTAAGTCTGAGAATGTATTTTATGTTACGAAGTATCTAAAATCTAATGCTTTTGTTGTTTTCTATCAAGTTTCATTCGCTACAATGGTTACAAAAGACGAGCCAAATATACCAACCAAAGGAGCAGAGTCATCAAAAAAACTGGAGTCACAAACAGCAACCATAGACTCCTCAACACCAGATAAATCTGCTAGTCCTCCGCTTAGAAATTTATCAGCATCAGAGCAGTCTTCTAATGCTCCACAAAAATCAACATCAGACCAACTTGCCAATTCTCCCCAAAATGAATCTACAACATCAGAACAACCTGCCAATTCTCCACAAAAAGAATCTACAACATCAGACCAATCTTCCAATTCTCCCCAAAAAGAATCTACAACATCAGACCAGTCTGCCAATTCTCCCCAAAAAGAATCTACAACAGACCAGTCTGTCAATTCTCCCCAAAAAGAATCTACAACATCAGAACAATCTTCCAATTCTCCCCAAAAAGAATCTACATCAGACCAATCTTCCAATTCTCCCCAAAAAGAATCTACAACATCAAACCAGTCTGCTAATTCACCACAGACGGAGCCTTCACCACAAAACCAATCAGCGTCACCAACAGGAACATCCACTCCACCACCTACAGGGGCTTCGCCGCAGGGAAACACGACCCCAAAACCTCGTTGGAGAAAGTTAATATTGGGGTTGAAAATTGGCGGCGTTGTTGCAGGTGTTACCGCTGGGGTCGTTGGTTCTGTGGTGCTGGCGCCCGTAGCTGTGGCGGCAGCTGGGTTCGGAGCAGGCGGCATCGCTGCCGGAAGTGTGGCTGCAAGTATGATGTCAGCGGCGGCCACATCCGGGTAAGTTGTTTGTATACAAAATGTAATTTTTAGGGCCACGAGAATAGCGATTAAAAACTAACAAAGACAGAATTGTGGTAGGGGGTTGTATTGTTTTTATTTCTTTTTTTTTTTTGCTGTATTTTGTATGTGTTCTAAAAAAATAATCATGGAACGGCGTGGCTTATCAGTAGATCTCTTGACTGCTAATCCCAAAGTTTATATTTGAATTGGGGTTCAAGTCATTAGAACGTCCCTGAGTCCTGCCAGCTCTGATGGGTCCCTAACTCATGTTAGGGAAAATAAAGGTGGCTGGGCATACAGCTGACCATGCAATCCCCTCAGATCACAGAAACAGGTAAACTCTACTTGACTTGCCCCATGGAACTTAAAAATGGATGAATCGAATTTTACTTATAAAAAATAACCCCTTAAATAGTAAACTTAGATTTTCCGTTGATGTTGTTTGTTTATTTAATTATTTATTTTTTTAATAATTTTGCTGTAACTTGTGTAATAAATATTTACTTTTAATATTTTCAGCATCGGTATGGGCGTGGTATCGGCGTTACAGTCAGTAGGAGCTGTAGGATTTGGACTAGCGGCTAATGCTATAATAGCAGCTGGAGGCGCCGCAGCTGGTGGAGCTGTGGCAGCTGGAGGTGTTGTAGCTGGGGAAGCTTTAACCAAAACGAACAAGACAAATCAGGGTACGGGAGGCGCCGCAGCTGGTGGAGGTGCAGTTGGGGGAGCTACAGTTGGGGGAGCTACAGCTGGTGGAGCTGTAGCTGGTGGAGGTGTTGTAGCCGAAGAAGCTTTATCCAGAACTGACAAGTCAAACCAGGATAGCGGAGCGGAAAAATCAAATATTCCACATGTAGAAGCTCAACGTGGCCAGAAAAATAATTCAGATTCTGGCCAGGGAGACGAAACTCTTCTGAAAGAGAATTCTGAAACGAGTGGAAAGGAAAATGATGATCCTATTAATAAGGACAGTGAAGATGAAAACAATTCTGAGTTTTGTACCTATGGTGATGTGGTGAAAAAACATTATTAAAACTTTGATTTTTAACGTGTAAACCACTTTTGAAACTTTTATTATAATATAACAAACCTTCTTCAGCATTAAATGACATTTTTTATTTCTTATCGTGGCTTGACTGCCAATTATTAATGGTATGCTTAATTAAACTGCTCTGTAATAAAACGAAAAAAAAAATGCGCATATTGTGGTGTTATTCTCTTTGTAACAGGAGTGGTCAGATTGTGTTAGTTATGAGAGACTGAACATCATCAAATTAAATTTTAAGTCGGGGGAGGGGATATATATCTGTATCACATGCAAGACTGCCTAGGTCTCAAACAAATAAGGTTTTAAAATAAACCTTATCAACAACAAGCATTACAATACATTAAACATAACAAAGGGGAACTATTTTCTTTCCTCAAATATATCAGCAAAGCTTTGATCTCTTATTACCTATCATATAAACACGCTTTATTTAGTCAGGAAAGGATTAAAGAAATGGTTCAGTTATAAAAGGGACGAGATTGAATTACATTCTTTGAACACAAACAGTGTGACTTTAGTAAAAATAAAACCATTAACAGTGATAAGATTTGTACTGAGTCGCTATTCAATCCCTATCAGAGTTTCTTCTAGGCATCTTTTTACGAGAAGGAAAACAATTCAAACCAAGAAGGCGAGGATCAGAAATTTATAGGTGATCAGGAACAAAAATCTGCGCCTGCACCACATTAAAAGCATTTTAAGAAGAAAAAAATTAAAAATATTAATATCGAAAATAACAATGCAGATAAGGACAGCGGAGATGAGTTTTATCAGCAAAGTGCACTAAACAAAAGACTTTAAGTGCTACTTTAATTTATCTTACTGTTAAAGCAAATAATAATTTCATGTCAACTTTATTGGAAGTGTTGTATTTTTTAATACGTCTATAGTCGTAATGCACCAAAAACACATCATCTGGATCTGAACTCTATCTCTAGACCTGAACCCAATTCCTAGACCTGATCCCAATCTCTATCTACGAATATTATATTTCTAATTGCAATTTTTAATATGTTTAAACAATGTAATGTGACAAACCTATGCAAAAATTGTCTCACAATTATGTGTAAGAAAATATGAAAACCAAATGACTATCAATGTTAAAATCTATTTACAATATTGTAAATACTACAACAATTTTATTGTATGATATTTTGTCTGAGATATTTTGTCTTCCAGGCAGCTCTTCGGGGGTGCTTCCCCCCCCCCCCCCCCCCCCCCGAAAAATTTTTACCGCCCCCCCCCCCCCCCCCCCGAACGAAAAGAAATGTATATAATTTATATAGAAAATATATACTTTTAACAGTGTCCGCCCCCCCCCGAAGAAAGTCTACCGCCCCCCCCCCCCCCCCCCCCCCGAAAAAATGTCAAGTGCCCCCCCCCCCCCCCCGGAGAAAAAAGTCTGGAAGAAACACTGATTCCTAGACCTGAACCCAATCTCTATCTACGAATATTATATTTCTAATTGCAATTTTAATATGTTTAAACAATGTAATGTGACAAACCTATGCGACAAAAATTTTCTCACAATTATGTGTAAGAAAATTGGTATATGAAAACCAAATGACTATCAATTTTTTAAATGTTAAAATCTATTTACAATATTTTAAATACTACAACAATTTTATTGTATGATATTTTGTCTGAGATATTTTGTCTGAGATCAATCGTCCATAATATGATTTTTCATGTTATCTTTTATCCTGACCTCTTTTGTCCGTGAGATCTATTGTCATTGAGATCATTTGTCATGGAACCTGTGACCGCTTACCAGTAACTAGGGGAGATTATTCCCGCTTTATTTTAAATGACGTAACCGCTTATCAGTAATTAGGTCGTGTCACGATGTAGAAATAAACACACTCCTTCTCTTTTTTTATTCCAAGCTGTGCTGGGCGATTATTTGTTGGTACGTTTTAAGTTTTGATTATTAAATCTAGAGTATCATTTGCGTACCGTTTTTATGTGCCGCTTCCTTTGTGTGTTTTAGAAACAAACAAGTTTAGCGATGTTTTCATACTACTAGATCTAGATAATTGGCCAGTTGAAGGGTGATTTTTTTAAATATTATTTCAAAAGTTATTTTTTATTCAAAGTAATCAGTTCAGCTCAGCTAATTCCGGTTTTTCCAACTATTCCAGAATTAAATGGTATTAGCGGTGTTGACGGCAAAATAAAACGATGTATGACTAGCGGGGGTGAGGGGGTGTGTGTAAAAGATAAGTGAAAAAAGTCTGCTAAAACTTTTTAAAAAAATGTTTGTGTGTGCGTGCTTGTGTGTGAGTGCGTACGGGCGTGTGTGTGTGTGCGTGTGTCTGTGCATGTGTATACGTCTGCGAGTGCGCGTGTGTGTGTGTGTGTATGTTTGTATCTATGCCTCAGGGCGTGCTTGTATGTGTATGTGTGTCTCTATAAAATAATGTATAATCATACCAAGTGTTAAATCATAGCAAGTATTCGGATAAATAAACTTATAGGTTGTCTTCAACATATTTTTCAGCACAGTACATTTTGTCACAAAACGCTTGTTAAAAATATACTTCTATCTGAATATGTTGCTTATTTATTTGGGTATCGTGTAGATATCTATACGTTTGGTGGCTGATTACTAATGATTAGACAGCGAGATAAAACAAAACTATTTATAGAAATACTTTATCCGTCTTAGACAAATATCCGCTGAGTCTACACGGAAGTTTTCATTACGTTGTTTTATCGATGGGATTGATTGTGCGGTTTATAACGTTTTTATCGGAGTTGGGTTTACAGCTCTAACATCTGTTCTGTAAGTTGTTTCGTTTGTTTTTTTAAGTATTCCCTACTGAAACAAGAATCGTAGGTCTATTGGAGAGGGTGTGGTTGTTTGTGAAGTTTATCTTTTCTTGTTTTTCTTCAATTGTGCCTATACTAATTAGCAGTTTACTAAGCATTCTGGTGATCTCAAACTCTTTTACAAACCACGGGGATGTTTTTACATACATTTTAATATATATATATATATATATATATATATATATATATATATATATATATATATATATATATATATATATACACACATATATATATATATATATATATATATATATATATATATATATATATATATATATATATATATATATATATATATATATATATATATATATATATATATATATATATATATATATATATATATATAATAAAGTTAAATGCAGTTATTTTATGTATACATGCTATTTAATATATTTTTTCTTTAGTAAATAATGGTCACAACGGATTAACAGAAAAGGGACGGTGAAGGGTAACAACCACCACAACAACCAAAGACTCAACAAGCCACAAGAGGAGTTTCTTCACAAGGTCAGTCTTCAAGTTCACCACAGAGAGTCTCTTCCACGCAAGACGCCATGATTTCTTCTAATCGATCTTATGGAGCGAGGGTAATAAACGAATCGCCTTCTCAGAGGTCAAAAGAAACCCTATCACCACAGGGACCAAAAGACCCGCGAACTGACAAAAACCCACCGTCATCAGATCAGGGTGGTTGGAGCTGGAGAAAAATAGCCAGTGTTACCGCTGGAGCGGTGGGAGCCGTGGCTCTGGCGCCCGTAGCTGTGGCCGCAGCTGGGTTCGGAGCAGGCGGTATTGCCGCCGGAAGTTTAGCAGCGAGCATGATGTCTACGGCCGCGAAATCCGGGTACGTATTTTCTCTTTGCGAACTTTCCATAGTTTTCGTTAAGCAAATTTTCAGCCATAAATTTTGATGAAAGTCTAAGCAACGAAATGTTCTCATAATCTCAAAACAGACCAAAAAGAGACGGTGAAGGGAAACAACCACCACAACAACCAAAGACTCAACAAGCAGCAAGAGAAGTTTCTTCACAAGGTCAGTCTTCAAGTTCACCACAGAGAGTCTCTTCCACGCAAGACGCCATGACTGCTACTAATGGAACTTATGGAGCTATGGCAATAAACGAGTGGTCGTCTTCTCCTGGTTCAAAAGAAAACTCTCCATTACCGGGACCAAAAGAAACAGGACCTGACAAAAACCCACCATCGTCCTGTGAAAGTGGCTGGGGCTTTGGAAAGCTTGCAGGTGTTGCTTCTGGAGCCTTTGGATCACTGACGCAGTCACCGGCACTTGTGGTAGGCGTTAGAGCAGCCAAAAGTTTAGCTGCGGATATGATGTCTACGGCTGCTACATCCGGGTACGTCTATTCAAATTGTCCACATTTTTCGACAAATAATGTTGGTGAAATTGTGAGTAACGAGGCGTTATCCGAAACGTAAAAAAAAACAACTAATTTATGTGATTCCATTGGTTTTAGTTAAACTAGTCGTATCCTTAATTGTGTTGGAGGAGTGGTCGAGTCGGCAAAAAGCTCATGGTTGATAAATTCGAAAAAGTCGAGTTCAAACCCTCTGGTAGATAAAGGCTGGATCCCTTCCAACACTAAAAATTAAAAACGAAGAAGTTAAACTAGTTATTTGAAGATTTGTCTAAAAGACAGCCGCTATTGTTCTTTCATTGTTAAACGAATCAGTGTTTTTAAAAGGGCTTGTCACACTTTACAAAGCCAGTTCAAATTTGTTATGTTTTATAACATTTCCCTAACTCTGATAAAAAGAGATTCATTTACTATAAGTTTTCCGTCTATTCGTGTTTAACTGTAAGGGTTGAGTAGCACTTCTAGTGAACTCGGGATACAGAGATGGTAAAATTTGTTACAAAACAGCTCGTTTTTTCGATAAACACATTGAGGGAAAAAGAATTTTTTAAAAGCCATAAGTTGAACTAAAGTACATTTTCCGGTTACCGAAAATCGCTTAAAATTTAAAAAAAAAACCGACCTATATGATCTTTTTGAAACTTCGTTTACTTAACTGACATGGTACTCGAGTAATTAATTTTAAACACACACACTTACACACACATGCATACATACAAAAACATGCACACGTATATTCAGACAGTGTATATGAGTCGGGTGGTGTAAAACGTCGAAACATTTCAACCCCTATTCGATTTTTTGCAAGTTATAAACATTACTTTCCCCGATACTCCGTTTAAAACATTGCTAAAAAGAATTTTGTTTTCAATTAAAATTTTAACAAAAGTGTACACTTTGCTTTCAACAAAATGTTATCGCTACATTAGCACAATGTCGCAAAGTTCATATTAATTCATTTCTTCAGTTATAGTAGAGTTTATTCTTCCAAATTTTACCTATGGTGTTCGTCGTATTTCTACATGAACTTTACTCATTAGTGCCCAATTTAGAGAAGGAAAACAACCATCAGAAAACACGAGGAACCCACACTATAAAACGGAATCTTCCAAACCTAGTCAGTCAACGAGTTCTTCACGGAGGGACTCCTCCACACAGGACTCTAGGTCTTCTGGGACTTCTGGAGCTGGGCCAAGAAAAGAGCAGGGGTCAAAAGCAACCCCACCATCACAGGAACCAAATGAACCAGGATCTGATAAAAACCCACCTTCATCAGATCAGAGTGGTTGGAGCTGGAGAAAAATTGCCTGTGTTGCCGGAGGAGCAGTTGGTGCTGCGACGCTGGCACCAGTAGCTGTGGCGGCAGCTGGGTTTGGAACAGGCTGTATCGTGGCCGGAACTGTAGCTGCGAGTATGGTGTACAATGCTGCTACATCCGGGTATGTCTTTTCAAGTTTTCCACATTTTTTAATTGACCTTTTTGGAAGCCTACCACTTCCGGAAACCAAAAATCGCTGAAATGTTTAAAATAAAACCTACGAATATGACCTTTTCGAAATGTCGTTCTCCTAACTGAAATGGTACTCGAGTAATTGAGTTTAACACACACACACACACACATATACACACACACACAATGTTCTCGCTACATCAGCACCTCTAACAAAGTCGCAAAGTTCATATTGATTTCTTTCTTCAGTTCTAGAAGAGTTTACTCTTCCAAATTTTTCCTACGGTGTTCGTCATATTTCTCTCATACACTTTTCTCATTAACGCTCAACTCAGTGAAGGGAAACAATCATCAGAAAACACGAGAAACCCACAAGAAACAAGGGAATCTTCCAAAGCTGGTCAGTCAACGAGTTCTTCACAGAGAGGCTCCTCCACACAAGACTTTAGGTCTTCCTCTTCTGGAACTGGGCTAAGAAAAGAGCAACCATTACCGAGACCAAAAGAAACCCCATCATCACAAGAACCAAATGAACCTGGATCTGACAAAACCCCACCATCATCAGATCAGAGTGGTTGGATGTGGAGAATAATTGCTTGTGTTATCGCTTGGATGATGTCCAAGGCTGCTACCACCGGGTATGTCTTTTCTAATTTTCCATATATTTTTTCAATTAAAAATTGTTAGTAAAATTAAAAGTAACTGATGTTATCCCAATCTAAAAAAAAAAAAACAGATATTTTATTGGATGTGATCGTATTTTTAAAAAGTTAAATTTGGAAGATGTGTTTAAACGGAAGACGCAAGTCTCGTTAAATTTCTTATAAAACAGCTCATTGTTTGAAAAAACACATTGAGGTGAATAATTTACCTTCTGGAAACCAAAAATCGCTTAAATGTTTAAAATAAAAGCTACGAATATGACCTTTTCGAAATGTCGTTCTCTTAACTGAAATGGTACTCGAGTAATTGAGTTTAACACACACACACATACACACACACACACACACACACACAATGTTCTCGCTACATCAGCACCTCTAACAAAGTCGCAAAGTTCATATTGATTTCTTTCTTCAGTTCTAGAAGAGTTTACTCTTCCAAATTTTTCCTACGGTGTTCGTCATATTTCTCTCATACACTTTTCTCATTAACGCTCAACTCAGTCAAGGGAAACAATCATCAGAAAACACAAGAAACCCACAAGCAACAAGGGAATCGTCCAAAGCTGGTCAGTCAACAAGTTCTTCACAGAGAGGCTCCTCCACACAGGACTTTAGGTCTTCCTCTTCTGGAACTGGGCCAAGAAAAGAGCGACCATCACAGGGACCAAAAGAAACCCCATCATCACAAGAACAAAATGAACCAGGATCTGACAAAACCCCACCATCATCAGGTCAGAGTGGTTGGAGCTGGAGAATAATTGCTTGTGTTATCGCTTGGATGATGTCCAAGGCTGCTACCACCGGGTATGTCTTTTCTAATTTTCCATATATTTTTTCAATTAAAAATTGTTAGTAAAATTAAAAGTAACTGATGTTATCCCAATCTAAAAAAAAAACAGATATTTTATTGGATGTGATCGTATTTTTAAAAAGTTAAATTTGGAAGATGTGTTTAAACGGAAGACGCAAGTCTCGTTAAATTTCTTATAAAACAGCTCATTGTTTGAAAAAACACATTGAGGTGAATAATTTACCTTTTTTGGAAGCCTACCACTTATGAAAACCAAAAATCGCTTAAATGTTTAAAATAAAAGCAACGAATATGACCTTTTCGAAATGTCGTTCTACTAACTGAAATGGTACTGGAGTAATTGATTTGAAACACACACACACACGCATACACAATGTTATCGCTACATTAGCACCTCTAACAATGTCGCCAAGTTCATATTAATTTATTCCTTCAGTTCTAGAAGAGTTTATTCTTCCAAATTTTACCTTTGGTGTATGAACTTTTCTTATTAGTGCCCAGTTTAGAGAAGGGAAACAACCATCTGAAAACACGAGAAACCCACACGGTACCAGGGAATCTTCTAAACCAGGTCAGTCAACCAGTTCTTCACGGAGGGACTCCTCCACACAAGGCTCTAGGTCTTCTAAAACTTCTGGAGCTGGGCCAAGAAAAGAGCAGGGGTCAAAAGCAACCCCACCATCACAGGAACCAAATGAACCTGGAACTAACAAAACCCCACCTTCATCAGATCAGGGTGGTTGGAGCTGGAGAAAAATTGCCTGTGTTGCCGGAGGAGCTGTTGGTGCCGTGGCGCTGGCACCCGTAACTGTGGCCGGAGCTGGTTTCGTAGCCGGCAGTATCGTGGCCGGATGTGTAGCTGCGAGTATGGCGTACAATGCTGCTACATCCGGGTATGTCTTTTCTAATTTTCCACATTTTTTAAAAATAAAAAATTGTTAGTGAAATTAAAAGTAAACTGATGTTATCCCACTCGCAAAAAGCCCAGTTATTTTATTGGATGTGATCGGATTTTTAAAAAGTTAAAATTGGAAGATGTGTTTAAACGGAAGACACAAGTCTCGTTAAAGAATTGGCTTAAATCTGTTATAAAACAGCTCATTGTTTGAAAAAAAACTTTTAAGTGAACAATTATCCTTTTTGGAAGCCTACCACTTCCGGAAACCAAAAATCGCTTAAATGTTTAAAATAAAACCTACGAATATGACCTTTTTGAAATGACGTTCTCCTAACTGAAATGGTACTCGAGTAATTGAGTTTAACACACACACATACACACACACACACACACACACAATGTTATCGCTACATTAGCACCTCTAACAATGTCGCAAAGTTCATATTTATTTATTTCTTCAGTTCTAATAGATTTCTTTCTTCAAAATTTTACCTATGGTGTTAGTTATATTTCACTCATACAGTTTTCTTATTAGTGCCCAATTTAGTGAAAGAAAACAATCATCTGAAGACTCGAGAAACCCACAAGCAACAAGGGAATCTTCTAAACCAGGTCAGTCAACGAGTTCTTCACGGAGGGACTCCTCCACACAAGACTTTATGTCTTCTGGGACTTCTGGAGCTGGGCCAAGAAAAGAGCAGCCATTACAGGGACCAAAAGAAACCCCAACAACACAGGGACCAAAAGAAACTCCAACAACACAGGGACCAAAAGAAACTCCAACAACACAGGGACCAAAAGAAACTCCAACAACACAGGGACCAAAAGAAACTCCAACAACACAGGGACCAAAAGAAACTCCAACAACACAGGGACCAAAAGAAACTCCAACAACACAGGGACCAAAAGAAACTCCACCATCAAAAGAACCAAATGAACCTGGATCTGACAAAACCCCACCGTCATCAGATCAGCGAGGCTGGAGCAAAAGAAAAATTGCCTGTGTTGCCGCTGGAGCAGTTGGTGCTGTGGTGCTGGGACCTGTAGCTGTGGCGGCAGCTGGGTTCGGAGCAGGCGGTATCGCGGCCGGAAGCTTAGCAGCCAGCATGATGTCCACGGCAGCTACATCCGGGTAAGTCACATACAACACTGGCATCATAGTTTTTCCAATATCTCTCCTGAGAACTTCTAACTCAAATCCAGGTGGAGGGGGACGTTACACAATGTGGAAATAATTCTGTATATATATATATATATATATATATATATATATATATATATATATATATATATATATATATATATATATATATATATATGTATGTATATATATATATATAAATATATATATATATATATATATATATATATATATATATATATATATATATATATATATATATACATATATATATATATATATATATATATATATATATATATATACATATATATATATATATATATATATATATATATATATATATATATATACATATATATATATATATATATATATATATATATATATATATATATATATATATATATATATATATATATATATATATATATATATATATATATATATGTATGTATGTATATAATAGCGTGTCCGTCCTCGCGTGTTGCCGCGAGGGATAGAAGAAAGTCTGACGAAATATATAAGAAGGGTTTCATCAATGCGGTACCAATCCTGTGTTCTTAGACGCGTGACATTGTTTTCTAAAAACTGAGTTATTTAAATGCAAACAATGCCTACGCTTGGATCATAAATATCGCGACACCTACACTACCGCATGAAAACCTTGAGTGTACGATAACCACTCACAGAAAAAATGAGGTAGAACACACTTCAGTGACCGTCTATGCGTCAGGGAAGTAGAAGGGCGTTCTCGGGAGCCCCCGATTACACTACCGCAGAGGCGCCATAGTGCTCGCAGGGGAACCCGGGGCGCTTCTGGTAGTGCAAGCTACGGGGCGCCGGCAGTTGCGCCTTTTGAAGTTTTAATGCTGAATATAATAGTACCCATTACCCGCTATGTGTGACGCACGATTAATGGATGCCAAGTGCTAACATAGCCGCTCTGGAATTCTGGGCGCCAACTTGTGCATTGACGAAAAACGCACCCTCCCGGGCGCCGCTCATATCAAATTTTAATTATTTTGTTAACAGAAAACTTCCTGGGAGTATTCTCATTAACTATTTAAAGTTTTATAGCACTCGGATGAAAGGTGTCGAACCGCATCTGACTTTCATTTTTTTAATATGCCGTATATAGAGCAGAATCGCAACCTCCTGTGGCGCCACCCTTGCGAAATTTAAAAAAAAGATTGTTTTACAGAAACCTCCCCTGCAGTTTTCTAATCAACTTTCCAAAGTTTCATATCACTGGGATGAGCGGTGTCAGACCGATTCGACTTTTATATATATATATATATCATATAAAGAAAAATCGGACCCTCCCCTGGCGCCGCCCTTGCGAAATTAAAAAAGATTTATTTTTTTATTTTTTTTATTTTTTTGCAAAACCCTTCCCTGTAGTGTTCTAATCAAATTTATGGCGATCGGATGAATGGTGTGAAACCGCAATCGACTTTTTTTTAATATACCGTATGTTGAGAAAAAAAATCGTATATATATGGATATATTCCATCAATCATATTCATTGTTTCAGTGTCGGCATGGGCGTCGTCTCTGTGTTACAGTCAGTGGGGGCTGTAGGATTTGGATTGGCGGGTAATGCGGGGCTAGCAGCTGGGGGCGCCGCTGTCGGTGGAGTTGTAGCACGTGCAGCGGACGCCATTTTCGGCCAGGGAGATCAGCCAACCAAAGAGGACGATGAGAATGATGACAGCAGTGATGATACCGGTCATGGGGAAACAAAACAGAGAAAATAAACGTGTGTTTGATGTTCTGTTTGATGTTCTAAGTTTAAACTTCAACCCAAAAAAATTTTGCTGTACATTTGAACAAGCTGTTTATTTTCTTATATTGGTATTTTTTCTAGGACGCTTTCATTTTTACTCTCTCGTATATGCGAAGTATAGAGAAAGTCTTGTAATCGTGCAAAAAAAATCTAGATTTTTACAAATTACAAATCTCGACATTTTACACCTCACTGATACGGAAAAACATAATTTTGCAATCTTGTCCGTATGTGTGTGTGCCTGTGTGTGTGTCTGTGTGTGTAAACACGATGACTTGAGTACCTATAAAGCTAGGTTGGTGAAATTTCATATATAAGTATTTTATCAAAATCGCGGATCCCTATCAACTTTTCAGCGATTTCCGATAACCGGAAGTGGTACTTTCTCTACTTTGAATTTTTTAAAAGCCTATAACTTGAGTACTATTTCAGAAAGATAAATGAAATTTCACATGTAAGTAAAAGATTTAATTTTCTACTTTCTATCAAATTTTGAGTAATTTCCGTTGACCGGAAGTAGTAATTTACGCTATTTCCAATCTCTCAAAAAACGCATGTAAATTTATAAAGTACTAATAATAATCCGCACTATTATGCACATTTTCTTTTGGCGTTCGCTTGGTGCGCAATTCTTTTTTCTACGAGATTCTATTCTATTTTTAATAGTTTAAGTAATTAAAAATCATGTCTATATTCCAAGTTGCCATCCCACGGTGTGTTATATAAGAATATTCGAGAAAGTTTAGGGGAGATCACTCCCGGTTTATTAAATGTTATTTTCATCCACTTCAGCACTATTTACAAAAATATAATTAGAAATATTAAATGACACCAATGAATTTTATTGGTGAGTAAAACACTTTTAAAAATTAAAATTTCATAGAAAAAAAATTTGCATCTAAACATTTAAATCGTAATTTAACATATTCCCAAAACCCGGTAAATACTTCTTAATAAACCCAAATATCTCAGTGCAGGTCCTTGTCGTAACGGCTAGTAAATAATAATTGCCGATTTATTTGTTTATGTCACCGGACGCATTACCTTGCCGTGGTGTAACAGCTTGCATGCTCCAATGACAAATCTCCTGGAAGACACCACCAAGTCGGACAGGTCTGTAAGGAAAGGGGCCATACAAAAGTCTATCACTCTCCCCTTTTATTTTATTTTTATTTGGGGGGGGGGGGGGAGTTGCGATAGGCCGACAACATGTCCAATGAGAAAGAAAAAAAAACAGAGTTGAGAGAAGAGCTCCTTAATTGAAATTAATGAAGCTGAATCAAACATGGCCAACTACTCTACTAATGAAAACTAAATCATTTCCTTATCCAAAAGGTGATGCCTCAGCCTGGGAACATAGTATATAACTCTACAAGATCCTGGTTGGTGCGCCCAAGTTTCAAAAGAGATGACAATTTAACATATTCTGGGACTAAGTGAAGTGGGTTGGAACAATTTCGGAGAAACTTGCCTAAGACTGTATGGAATCCCAACTAAAGTGATACAAGGGTTATCAACTTGAAAATATTTGAATCTCTATACACATGATTCAATTCTATATACCTCAGCTTATATACCTGATCCCCTTCCGTACACATCAACCCTTTTAATATACAAAAACCCTGTTCTATCTCATTGCTTGATACATGAGGCGAATAACATTAAGTTCAAAATAAAATGATTGAAAAAAAAAAAACAATTATTTTCTGGGTTTTTTATCATATTTTTTACTCTGACGTTCTTTATTAAAAATATATTTTACAACTAGTCCTACTATAATACACACAACGCATACAATTTGATTTTTTTTTAAATAAATATTTAGAGTATTTGCCATAATAATACAATACCATAATCACAGATATGAGTGATTGAAAAAAAAATTCTCACGTTTTTTTCATATAAGTACAATAAAGAAGATAAATATAAACTAACATCGCATATCTATAGTTGAACCAAGTACAGAGCAACAATAGTTAAATAGGGTAGATGAAGTAGTGTTCATCGGGGCTTATTTTTTATGAGCATGGCATATGAAAGGATAGTGTGGTCCCTACGATGTCAAGCCGACTTCAATTTCATCGACAGAAGTGGGTTTTTTTCAGACTTTTTTCTCGGGGGGGGGGGGGGGGGGGGGGTGGCACTTCTTTTATTATTTTTGAATTTTGTCATAATTTGTTGGCCGGCCATCTTTTAACTGTTTCAGTTTTTACCGCCCCTACTACACAGATTTACAGTTACAGATATCGATTTTAACCCCGCCCTAAAACACGTATACAAAAAAATAGTGTTTCACTGATAACCCATATGACCAGGTCTAACTACGCCACCGTTTAAAATTTAAACATACATAATCAATAAAAAAAATCAATAATAATTTAATCAATATACTGGCCTTGCTGTACAACCCACTAAAAGTTAATGCCTGTACATGAGTATAACAAGAAACAACATTAAAAGAAAACTGCTACTACTACAAGTCAAGAGGCTGGAAGAGTTTTTGGATTTTTCTAGAAGGGGCGACCTGGGCAAGGGTTTACTGTTGCAGTAGTCTTTGTCATCACAGGAATAAAAACAGTTGTGGGTGGAGCCGAAATCTGAGCACCCCTCCGCGCTTTGAGCGTCGCCACACCCCCGGAAAAAGAATTTGGGAACTCCGGTTTCTGCGGGAGAATAAAAAGGGGATAATTGTAATGATCTAACTTTGTTTAATTTGTTTAGTTAATTCTTATGTATTTTAAAAATTAAAAATGCTAATATATAAGGCGGCATTTTTTTAAAATTTGAATTAATCTGTTTATTGATGTAAATTATAATGCTTACGATTACTTAAAAATTCTTTTTGTTGTAAAAAAAAAAGGACTTAACTGTAAAATATTAAACAAAGGGGGACAAATCATACTTTTCTTTTTATATTTTTTTAAATATTGAGTTATCTACCTTTACACATTAAGATCATAAATTAAATGTTGGTAAAAAAAAAATTAAATAAAATAGTATCTAATTTTGTTTGAGAAAATATTTCTTTTAAATGCATTGTGTCATATTGCAGAGAAGTCGCTGTACTCTCACAGAAGCCATTATGATTAGAGCATAGAGTTCAATAGAAATATTTATTAGAGAAAATCCCCAATCACATGCACCAAACCTACTGGCATCAAAATCCGCCACAATGGTACACTTGGATGGACATTTGATCCTGGGTTCTCCCCCCGTCCAGTTCCCGGGGGCGGTGGCGCACTCGATCCCGTTACCGTTCAGCACATACTGGCACGTCCAACACATCTGTCTGCCGACTGGGGATAATTACATAAGGCCGTCTAGAACAAGGGGGACAATTATAGAAGGCCGACTGGAACAAGGGGGATAATTATAGAAGGCCGACTGGAAAAGGGGGATAATTATAGAAGGCCGACTAGAACAAGGGGGATAATTATAGAAGGCCGACTAGAGCAAGGGGGATAATTATAGAAGGCCGACTGGAACAAGGGGGATAATTATAAAAGGGAGACTAGAACAAGGGTGATAATTATTGAAGGCCGACTAGAGCAAGGGGAATAATTATAGAAGGCCGACTAGAACAAGGGGGGATAATTATAGAAGGCCGACTAGAACAAGGGGGATAATTATAGAAGGCCGACTAGAACAAGGGGGATAATTATAGAAGGCCGACTGGAACAAGGGGGGATAATTATAGAAGGCCGACTAGAGCAAGGGGAATAATTATAGAAGGCCGACTAGAACAAGTGTGATAATTATAGAAGGCCGACTGGAACAAGGGGGGATAATTATAGAAGGCCGACTGGAACAAGGGGGATAATTATAGAAGGCCGAATAGAACAAGGGGGATAATTATAAAAGGGAGACTAGAACAAGGGTGATAATTATTGAAGGCCGACTAGAACAAGGGGGATAATTATAGAAGGCCGACTGGAACAAGGGGGATAATTATAGAAGGACGACTGGAACAAGGGGGATAATGATAGAAGGCCGACTAGAGCAAGGGGAATAATTATAGAAGGCCGACTAGAACAAAGGGGATAATTATAGAAGGGAGACTAGAACAAAGGGGATAATTATAGAAGGCCGACTAGAACAAGGGGGATAATTATAGAAGGGAGACTAGAACAAGGGGGATAATTATAGAAGGCCGAATAGAACAAGGGGGATAATTATAGAAGGCCGACTGGAACAAGGGGGGATAATTATAGAAGGCCGACTGGAACAAGGGGGATAATTATAGAAGGCCGAATAGAACAAGGGGGATAATTATAAAAGGGAGACTAGAACAAGGGTGATAATTATTGAAGGCCGACTAGAACAAGGGGGATAATTATAGAAGGCCGACTGGAACAAGGGGGATAATTATAGAAGGCCGACTAGAGCAAGGGGAATAATTATAGAAGGCCGACTAGAACAAGGGGGATAATTATAGAAGGGAGACTAGAACAAGGGGGATAATTATAGAAGGCCGACTAGAACAAGAGGGATAATTATAGAAGGGAGACTAGAACAAGGGGGATAATTATAGAAGGCCGAATAGAACAAGGGGGATAATTATAGAAGGCCGACTAGAACAAGGGGAATAATTATAGAAGGGAGACTAGAACAAGGGGGATGATCATAGAAGGGAGACTAGAACAAGGGGGATAATTACAGAAGGCCGAATAGAACAAGAGGGATAATTATAGAAGGCCGACTAGAACAAGGGGGATGATTACAGAAGGGAGACTAGAACAAGGGGTATAATTATAGAAGGCCGACTAGAGCTAGGGGGTAATTACACAAGGTAGGTCGTTATTGAGGGCCGATAATTGAGAGGGATAATAACGAAAGGTATGTAGTTATTGATGACCGACTGAACAAGGGGGATAATAACGAAAGGTAATTAATTATTTAAGGCTGAATTAAATGAGTGGGATAATTACACAAGGTAGGTAATTATTAAGGGCCGATTTAACACGGGGGGAAATAACACAAGATAGGTATTTACTGAAGGTAGACTTCAATAAGTCCCAAGATGGGTAATTATTGAAGGCCAAGGAAGATAAAACATGTTTACTGTTGGCCGACTTAGCAGTGGTGGTAATAATCCCAGTTGTGTGTGGTTTTTTTAAGGCCGACTTATAAAAGGGAGATAATATTCTAGAACGGGGATTTATTCAAGGTGGATATGAACAAGGGAGATAATAACAAAAGATGTGTGATTTTTTTTTTTGAAAAGATGAACAATAGCGATAATAAAACAAGGTAGGTAATTATTGAAGGCCGACTTGAACAAGAGGATAATAAAACAATAAATATTATAATTGAAGTCTAGAACAAGGGACACAATAACATAATCAATACTCACAAACAGCTTCCAGACTCCAAGACAACAGGAGAAACCCAAGGGCACGTAACTCCATCTTACTTTCTGTCCTCTCCGCAATCATATATTCTTGATGTTTTAGTTTAAGACATTGGGATAAGGTCGATATTGTTGTTTGCACTAGTAAAATAAACCGTTCGATGTAACGGGTATATCAGCTAGTATTTGAATTCACTTGCTGTGATGTAATGATCAGATGCGTCAGACCTGAAAGAAAATATAAAACTGATGTGAGCAGTGTAATAGATGTGGAGGTTATGGGATATTGTAGGTAGTGTAATAGATGTGGAGGTTATGGAATATTGTAGGTAGTGTAATAGATGTGGTAGTTATGGAATATTGTAGGTAGTGTAATAGATGTGGTAGTTATGGGATATTGTAGGTAGTGTAATAAATGTGGTAGTTATGGAATATTGTAGGTAGTGTAATAGATGTGGTAGTTATGGAATATTGTAGGTAGTGTAATAGATGTGGTAGTTATGGAATATTGCTATCTATCCCATAATCGCTAGAGTGTCGTTGGGGGACCACAGTTGGCTCTCAAAGTATACTTTGTCATACTTCTCTGTCCTCTGCTGATTTTAATACTTCTACACTGGACAATATTGTCCATTTCTATACTGGACAATATTGTCCATTCTTTGATGTCCTCCCTCAACATTTATTTAGCTCAACAATATGAAATTTGGAGCTCAAAAGTATCAACTTTGTAGCTAAATAACATGAATTTTGTAGCTCACAAATATGAATTTTAGTTAAATGTTAGAAATGTTAGGTTATAAATGTCTTTAGGTCTACGATATGGATTTTCTGTACGAGGAAAGAAGTTCAGGAAAACAATAAGCAATTTATGTAATCATGCATTTATTTATTAATTATCTTTTTTTTTTTGCTATTTCGTTATTTGAGATTTATCGATAGAGATGTAATGAAACATGTTTGTCGTTTTTTTAATAAAAGATTTATGGGACAAAATCACAAGAAAGTGAATGGAATCAGACTGAAACTCAAATGTTCCGTGTATTTTGTCGGCATTACGGCTTAACCAAAAAACTAAAACTATTTTGTCAAATTGTCAAAAACAAACAAAAAACGATTAATTACCAATGAAGTTAATATGCAACTGTAATGATACATAACGGAAATGACGTCATACTTACAACAACAACGCGGTTAAAACCTGGACATTGTGTGATCGAATCAAGCCCTAACTATGAGATGAGCCCAGGGATAAAGACGGTCTTTGATGTGGGATTCTGTCCACTGAGTAAAGCGGACACGGCGTTTTGTGTTGACCAACGCCGGAGAAAATTTTGTCAACAGGACTCCGGGCCGGAAGTCAAGATGGCAGATGGGAAGTGTCGTCTGCCCGTGTGGAGGATGGCTGGCAAAACTAGACTAAGGTCAAGTAGTGGGCAGAAACTGTGAGTAGCAGTACAGCTAAACTAGACGAAGATCAAGTAGCGGACAGTAGCTGTTTGTAGTAACTGTATAGCAAAACTAAAGTCAAGTAGTGGACAGTAGCTGTTTGTAGTAACTGTATAGCAAAACTAAAGTCAAGTAGTGGACAGTAGCTGTTTGTAGTAACTGGATAGCAAAACTAAAGTCAAGTAGTGGACAGTAGCTGTTTGTAAAAGCTGTATATATATATATATATATATATATATATATATATATATATATATATATATATATATATATATATATATATATATATATATATATATATACAGTGTGTGTGTGCGTGTGTGTGTATGTGTCTGTCTCGCCACACCGATGTTTACAGAACTGTCAAATACGTTAAAAACAAAACGAATTATGCATTTAAATGCTTTATATATGATGAGTTTTTATTACGTGTTTGAAAAATACGACAACTTTATTTTGTCATCCCTCAAGCTTGTGTTTACTTTCTTGGGATTGTCGCCAACGCAACAGTCCCACGCGAAATATTTTGTTAATGTATTCGTCACTTAACAAATCTGTTTGCCAACTCGCTTCAGCGATTTTACTACTTGAGAAAAATCTATTTATAAATGGCACACAAGGTGTGTGCCCTTTAATGTATTACTTTACGGAATTAATAAGGCAGAACAGGGCAGGGAAAAATTTTATGTTTATATTTTTAAGTATCGTGTGTATTATAGTATTTAAATATATATATATATATATATATATATATATATATATATATATATATATATATATATATATATATATATATATATATATATATATAATATCGAAGTATCTATATAGCACCATAATACCACGCAACAGCTTATGTATCATTATCATATGCAGTGTTTCTTTCGGGCATCTCTTCGAAAGTTTCAGGTGCCCCCGCCACTTCCTTTGAGAAAAAGTCTGAAAGAAACACTGATATTATCACGTGTCACATTCCTCTTCCACCTATCGTTCGTTCAAAATTGTATCGTTCATTAATGTTGGTCTGAATCATTTATCATCTTTCTTTATTGTAAAATAATTCAAAACTATAACTTATGACGTAATATTTTCCCTAGAGAAACTTAAGAATAGTTGTAGATCTAGTTGATATTTGGTGAGAGTGTTGTCTACAAATCTTGACACAAACTAGGAAACTTTGAGAGGTCCATATTTTATGAAGATGTGTTTTTTATAAATATATTTTATCAGGGGAGGACACTGGTAAAAGTACATATGCATATATATATATATATATATATATATATATATATATATATATATATATATATATATATATATTGTTACGTTCGGATGGGGGGGGGGGGTAGCCGTGCTCCGGGGAGGGGGAGGAGGCAGTGACAAACGTGATAGAAAGTAGAGTCTAACCAACCAGTTATATTTAAACAGTTAATTACTGTTGATTGAAACTGCTGCGTAATTGCTTGGGCTCGACGTCATACACATCCCATTCACAGGAGCTTATTTGTCCTTTTTTACGTTTAGTTTAACACTTAAGTAGATCAGTTGTTTTAAATTGTACTCAATTGAGGTCATATGTTTCTAATTATAGTATTTTAATATTTTTTAAAAACTCTACTGAAACTACACAAAGAGAAAAATCACGTTTTTGTTTCAAAGATTACTGTAAATATTAGATAAATAAAATGGTATAATTTTAGGGAGGATTGCTGTTTTAATTTGAGACAATAAAATATGACCAGTCACTTTTTCAAAGTCGCTCGAGGTTTAGAGAATTTAAAATGAATATACAGTCTACACCCCTATAAACGTTTACGGTTAATGTTGAAGAATTTAGAATAAATAATTCTCTTTACAAAATGTTATTTTCTCTTTATTTTATCTTTCAAAAAGATCAAAGTTAGAAGTAATAAAAAAATGTATTTAATGTTCTAAAAGATAATCATAAACTGTAAATCATTAAAAAAAAAAAATTTACAATAGCCATACCAACAAATGAAGAATAGCTGTCTTGCACCATTTGACACCATGTGAAACAAATATGATTAAAACAAACAGCACTTTTGAAACCTTACCATTCACATTGTAAATAAAATCTATCCAGCTCGTATTATTTATACTGCATGTCGCTTGTGGTGAAGTTGTTATTAAATGAAACAAATTAAAGTATCAGTATTCTTCTTCATGAAAGTTTTGTATTGTTTAAGTCACACGGAGATAGGAAAGAAACAGTCCTCACCCTAAGCAAGACACTCCAGTTATAGTTAGTATCTCCTGTAGTGTATATTATACACAAAGTCGGCAACACAACTACAACTAAAACCTTACAATTCACATCAAAATAAAAGCTATCACACTCGTTTTATTTATAGAACAGGGTGTTAAAAGAATGTAAACAACGATCATAGTCTAAGCCACTCCTAACGTTTTTTCTTTGGTCCAGTTTTAAGCAGGGTGGAATGAAAGACGTAGGTAAAAATCATGACGTCATCAATGTTTGAACTCGGAAACTCTTGCGTAGATGACCCAAAACTCAACCAGTCAACCAGATCTTCATTAACCCACACAAACTGGGTTTCTTCGTTTCCAGATTATATTTCATACACAGAACAACAAAAAACAGTATTACTTTAAAAACTAATATAGTTAACTAATAAAATAACTAATGAAGTAAACGATTGAAGCTTTGTTAAATGACATTTTCAACTACTTACCAACAATACTAACAGAAGAAATTTAAATCGCAATTTTAAAACGGTGCACAATTTCATGTTTCACCGTCTGCTTCTCGAATTCAACAGAAAGAAAACGAAAAAAAAATCGCAATGTTTTCAATGAGGGGGACGTGTTTGCTAAAACCGAAAACGGTGAATGGTCTATTTGCTCACGTGGTCTCTGGGGACCGGTTGCCATAAAATTAAACGGCAGAAAGGACGGTGTGTGAGAGATCCTCAGACGCAAATAGCAATGTAACACTATGGCTACATTTTGTTTCTTTCATCATCTTACTGGTATTTGGTCATTGGAAGGGTGTATACGTATATACATATATATAGGCATATATATATATATATATATATATATATATATATATATATATATATATATATTATATATATATATATATATATATATATATATATATATATATATATATATATATATATATATATATATATATATATATATATATATATATATATATATATATATATATATATATATATATATATATATATATATACGCCTAAATTATACATTTCTGTCGAAGTCAGTATAAAGGCTATGGTCAGGGTTGGAATAACAGGCGTCGCGAGGCACCAAGACAAAAATATGCAAAATATATAGAAGACAATGTCAGCTCAATAAAAGATTAGATATAAAAAGTATTTTAAGTACAAATTGACGATCCCGACAAGCTTGGGGTTGGGGGGGGGGGGGGGGGGTAACACCAACTGCAAAATTTACACAGGAAATAACAGTTAAGATGAATATTTTCAATAAGTGTTTAGTCAATCAATAACTGGGTAACTGGGGTATGTTGATAGAATATCTAATAATTTACTGTGAAAACTTTGCATTGACTAAATCAGAGGGGGCTGTCACCTATTGCATGAATATAATTATATATATATATATATATATATATATATATATATATATATATATATATATATATATATATATATATATATATATATATATATCCTATACTCTTTTCCTTTGGTAATAAGGGGCTGACACCATGAAGTGCCGCACCGTGTGACACCCGACCTAACTGGGAATAGTAATTGATATGATTAGAGCTAAACCAATCAAAATACCCTCCCAATGTTCTTTTAGATACAAAGACAACCCAGCTCTTGAAAAGTAAGTGATTGTTGAGTAGATCCACCTAACCAGTTAGACTCTACTACTCAAAACAAAAACCATGTAAATGAACTATGGCGAGGTTAACTTGACGTGTAGTCCTACCTCTCGGATACTCCCCCACCGTCCCCTTCTCCTTTCTTAAAGAACCTATTCGCCTGTATACGTTTGTAGCCTTACACTTAAAACAATGAGACCGATCAACCGAGTAGGTTTTGAGAAATGATTGGGAATCGAATATGTCGCTGGATAATTCTGAATAACGTCAGTGTATTGATTCCGCAACAAAAGAATAAAAGAAAATAATGAAATCGATACTCAGAAATATATCAATGACGTAATCGTGGGATACAAAGCGCCCAGATACTTAAGATATTTTATTTTTATCTGTTATAGATCGAGTTTAATAAAAAGTAGAATACAAAAAATAAGGGAAATAATTAAGGGAAATAAGGGAAATAATTTGTCGTTTGTTTTGTTTTTTGAAACATGGTACCATATGGTCGAAGGGCAGCGCATACAATTGTAAAGTTTGTTCAGTTCTCAGGTTCGAGTCTGCATGACTTCTAGTCCACATAACGTAAGTCAAAGAAAACTGAGGAACTCAACTCCTTTAGTCATGCGGTTAATTTTATCTAAAAATTTGATTTTATACACATTGCATAACTTTTCATATAAACAATAAAAAAAACCTAGACTTTATTTAAACCCTAACATATTGATTTAACGCAGGGTTAAATTTTTAAGCTACAAAGATAAATGAGCACAACGCAAGTCAAACACAACTGATGAACTCTACTCACTTTGTCCTGTTGGAGAATTTATCTAGAAATGTGTTTTTCGACACGTTGCATATCTTTCCATCAAACAATAAAAAAACTTAATGTATAAAACCTAACATTTTGTTTTAAACACAGGGTTTTATTTTTTTCAGTCACAAAGTTAAATAAACGAGGACATCAGTCGAAAAACGGCGTTTAGAATAATGTATTTGCCGGATTTAAAGTTGATTTAAGCTACCGAGCCTCAAGTTTTATGTGATTTTATACCATGCGCAATAGGCTTGAAAAGATAACTATGTAATCATACTAAAAAATGTTTAATCTTTTAAAAATATAGCAAGCGATAAAATTATAGTTTTATTTTATTTTTAAATGTCAAGCTGTTTGGGAATCATCGATTACATTCATTTTCATATTTTTTTATTGAATATAAGCCGTTCAAAAAGCCGTTTAGAATTATATTATCAATTCGTATATTTTTTTTTTTAAATTCTCCTCAACCTCCTTTTGCAGTCATCTGGAGTGGCCAGGGAGAGTAAAACAATGAAAGTCACAACAATTGTTTCCCACGATAAAATACACAATAGTGGTCAATAACCTAGTATTGTATTTATATTAAATAATTTAACATCCTCTATCACCACAACACTCTGACTACTAATCCACATTAAAAATAAAAGTGTTTTCTAAATTACTATTATATCACTAGTAATTATTTGTTTGAATATTTCTAGCCTTAAGTCATTCTAGCCAGAAGTCATTTTGTTACTTATATTACACAAGTGTTATAAAATATTGAATTTTAGTTAAAATGTATGCTTTCTGGCAAAAAATATTTGGAACCATTTGGAACCAGATTTTCAAGCCTATTAAATTATATAGGATATTACTGGATGTTAGATAAAATAGGACGGGTCGATGCTGGATTGTTTCATCTGACTGGTGTAATTAATCTCGACACCATTCGCCACTAAACCAATTTTTTGTCTACAAATATTGATTTTTACATAAAACTAATCACATTTTTATTAAAACGAATCACTTTTTGCCCAAAACTTCCAATTTTTTGTCTACAAATATTGATTTGTACATAAAACTAATCACTTTTTTTATTAAAACGAATCACTTTTTGCCCAAAACTTTCAATTTTTTTGTCAAAAGCAAATTATTTTTTGCCTAATTCCCCTTTGCATAAGGACTCTCTTCGTACATGATTATCTTATACTGCACAATACTTTTTTTTACACATATTACCTTTTCCTTTTTAAAAAATACGCGTTTTACTCTAAAGTGTATTTTATGGTCACCTTTTTCTAACAATCACACACCTTTTTCTCACTATCACACAACGTATTCTTATCAATCACATACCATTTTCCTAAAATCACTCATCTTTGCCTAGAAATCTAGCACCTCATACAAACCCAGCACGCATATTTTATGTTTCTCCGCGACGCTGTAAAAAAATTCTTCTAGCATTAAACGTACAATGTCAATACCCCACCAAAATAAAAAAAAAAAAGAATTCAGGTTTGCAAATATTAAACCAGTAATCAGAGAACTCGTTAACAGAAATCGATAACGAATGTACTTAAGACCTCCCACTAATCTTTGTTCTGTAGTCGTTAAAAATCTGCAGGCAATTTACGGCAACTTGTTTAAAATTGCCCTGTGGGAAAACTTCCTTTCTGGTACAGAACTGCCCTATCGAAGCATGAAATGTTTCAAATAACACTCTATTGTTTTAGGTTTTTGATTGATTTTTTTTTTCTGTAGGGGTCGTTAAACTATGAGACTGACATTTATGGTCAATGACGTGACGTCAATTTAAATGAATTTTATATTATTGTAAACCGGACCTCTGGAGTTTTCTTTATCACTGACAACATTATATATATATATATATATATATATATATATATATATATATATATATATATATATATATATATATATATATATATATATATATATATATATATATATATATATATAGGCCTATAAATATTTATAAACATATATAGGCCTATATATATATATATATATATATATATATATATATATATATATATATATATATATATATATATATATATATATATCCATATATATATATATATATATATATATATATATATATATATATATATATATATATATATATATATATATATATATATATATATATATATATATATATATTATATATATATATATATATATATATATATATATATATATATATATATATATATATATATATATATATATATATATATATATATATATATATATATATATATATATATATATATATATTACATACGAAAATCTCATCCCAGTTTTGTAGCTAGCAGCACCCCAGACTGGCTGTCTCTGCTCTAGTTAAAAAAAAAACATCCAGCCATTACACATTACACAATTACACATTCGCAGACGCTTTAAAAAAAGTTTAAACTGGGAGGGATGGGGGTGGGGGGTGAGAGAGACCAAAGACGTGGGAGGACCACCACTTTGACCCTCCTTATTTTTTGCTTGGACTTGGCCAGTGCACTGGCTAGTGTGTGCGGTGCATCAGCCCTTGTCAACACTGTCGTCTGCGAGCAGGTCAGTAAAGTCGCTCACATGACGTCATCAAATTTTAACCAGGTTGCGTCCCCCCCCCCACACCTCCCTCCCGTCTGTGTCATCTAGCGCCATACAAAAAAAAAATTAGACCAGCCAAAAAAATGAATCGTATTCTTACACTTTCTTTAAAAAAAAAACAAATTCCGACAAAAATTATCAACTTTTTAAATTCTAATTAATATGAAATACAAGAATGATACAAGATGGGACGACGTGGTCTAGCGGTAGAGCACTAGGTTTCCTTTCTCCCCCCCCCCTTCACCTCCCATCCCTTCTGTGTCATCTATCGCCATACAAAAATAATTAGACCAGCCAAAAAAAATGAATTGCATTCTTTCACTTTCTTTAAAAAAAACAAATTCCAAAAAAAAATTATCAACTTTTTAAATTCTAATTAGCACTAGACTGCTAACCTGAAAGTCTCGAGTTCAAATTCAGGTTCAAGTCAACATAAAGTCCCTGAGTTCACCCAGCTCTGAAGGGTACCAAACTAACGTTACGGAAAGCAAAGGTTACGGAAAGCACAGGTGGAATAGTGCTAATCACATTATCATCACTTCATAGGCCGAGGTCATATATAAATATAAATAAATATTAAAATATTTTAAAATATTTAAAAAAATATTATACACATAGGCACATATAAATAATTATATATATATATATATATATATATATATATATATATATATATATATATAATCTTCTATGAGCTTGGGTTAGGTTTAGATACGATGAACTTGATAACAAAATAACCACTAATCAGCTTTCAGAGACTATTGAATAAGTGGCACACAAAAAACGTTTTTTTTTCTCAAATTATAAGATATCATCTAATCCATAAACCAACGGCTCCTAAACAGCAGCAGCCTGCTTGCTCAACAACTACATCATTGATATATCTTTTACCTGAGCAATCAATTTTTGGTTAAACACCGACATTACAATATTTGTATCGTCAAGTGATTTTATTTTCTGTCAAGGTTAAGATTTGGGTTAAGGTTATGAAAGGGGTGTGGTCAGAACTAGTGTTTAGTAAAGAGGTTAGCGACATTGAAAACAAGAACAATATCGACAAATCGACTTTTTTGAAAAGCACCAAGGTGGTCTTTTTTTTCTCTAGAACAGACTACAAAATATGATAACTAATCTAGTGACCAGCATATGAAATAACAAAACGAGACGCATAAATCAATACCTGCATTAAAACACAACGCAATGTAAATCGATAGTAAGAGCACTTTACAACTGTTTTGTTTAATCTAACCGTAGCGTGATGTGTAGTTGTTTCCTTTTGGTTTTTTTTTTACAAGAAATGTCTGTCATTTCTGGTTACAAAAGTCTGTCTTGGTTTCTGATGACAAAAGTCTGCCTTAGTTATTGACAACAAAAGTCTGCCTCAGTTTCTGATGACAAAAGTCTGTCTTTGTTTTTAACGACAAAAGTCTGTCTTTGTTTCTAAACGACCAAAATCTGCCTTTGTTTCTGATAACAAAAACTCTGCCTTACAGAAGTCTGTTATTTATTTCCGACGGCAAAAGTCTGTCATTGTTTCTGACGACAACAGTATGTCTTTGTTGCCCACAACAAAAGTCTGCTTTTGTTCCCCACGACAGACTTCTACTAGTGACAAAACAAAGCAGAACTATCCGCTGACACCAATAATCAATAACCAGTAAACACTAGTTAAGAGCCAATTAATAATTCATCGAACTTGTTTTTTTTCTATTTGAGGCCGAGTTCAATACTAGTCAATCATTTTGCAGGAAGGTGTTAAAAAAGCTATATTCGTGTATTCGCCTACGGTTAAAGTAACTATATTCGTGAAAACGCCTACGGTTAAAGTAACTATATTCGTGAAAACGCCTACGGTTAAAGTAACTATATTCGTGAAAGCGCCTACGGTTAAAGTAACTTTATTCGTTTTTTATTTTTTTGTTTGCTAGTGTTTAAAAAAATAACAGATCCATTTTGTTGGGTGGGATTTAAATATCATTTATTTTGCAGGGAATATTTAAAATCATCCATTAAACTATTTCAGGGGGGGGGGGTTGTCAGTTTTGTTTTTAAAAATTATTTTGCTTCAAATATTAAAAAAAAACTACCTGTTTGTAGAAAATATACCCCGCTTATACCATAGAAAATACCACAATTCCAAACAAAATATCCCACCCAGTCCACTTATTCCCATCCCAATCTGACCTTCAAAAGTTAACGTTGAGTACAACATCGTAAGAAAAATATTGAATGCATACACTTATAGACTTTCTGGATCAAAAGTTAGGTATAGGGCCTATACATTTCTCTGTATGTATGTATGTTTTTGCTATATGCATAAAACACCTGGCTTGCAACTAAACCACCTTAGAGAAATTCCAGGGTGGTAAAGCTCATAGATGCTTACCACTAAAGTCAAGAGTTAAGGCAGAAGAGGTTTGCAGATTTCTCTTGGGTGTATCAAGACTATGAAAGAAAATCAAGAAAGAAAAGCAGACTAAAGTCGGCGCTTAACATAGTGATTCGATTTGATGGTGTTTGAAGAAATTAATTATAATTAAGAACAAAGAAAAAGAGAAGAAAAATTGCAGCCACTCGGCTTGCCTCTGAAGAATTCAACAGATTCGGTAGTCAGATACTACCAGCAATGCCAAGCTGTTTCAAAGGACGACCAGAGTGAAGTTGAGGACGAAATAACGTGGAAATGTTGTGGATGGATTGGGTACACCTTACACAAATCTCCATCAAGCACCAGCAGACAGGCTGTAAAGTGGAACCATCATGGCAAGCGAATCCGACTCTCACAAAAATACAATAATGACGACGTTATTTGAGGAAGGTACTATTAGGTTTGTTTACACCTGAAGACTGCTGTAAGTGGGAGGTATGGCCAAGGACTATAGAGATTTTTTTGTGTTTTGGCGGCTCATTTGCTAGCAGGCCAGAAGGTGTTATGTATATATATATAAAGGTGTTATAAATATATATATATATATATATATATATATATATATATATATATATATATATATATATATATATATATATATATATAATTCCCTCCAATTTACATTGTGAACTCCAAGTAAGCAACCTCTCTACCGATAGATCATCGCTGTCCCCACACTGACCTCCGAATAATCAGCCTCTCTAATCGCAGATAAACATTGTCCCTACAGTGACCTTCGAAGAACCTGTTTCTACCCACAGATCATCGATGTCCCCACATTGACCTCCGACTAACCAGCCTGTCTACCCATAGACAAACAACACCCCCTCCATTGACAGAATAATCAGCCTCTCTACCCAAAGACAATCGCTTCCCTCCCCCCCCCCCCCCCCACAGTGCAGAAGGAACACACACCAAGCAGATCAAAGAACTCAGCAGCCGCGGGATAATCGATTTCTTTAAAAGCAGATCGATACTTTTTTTCTTCGATTATGATCAATTGGTTAGAACGCGAACCGCACGCGCGCATTTGTGGACAAAACGCTTGGCGGATTATATTTTTTCCCTCACAAGCGGATTGTCTTTAAAACATACGCATTAACGCATCGTGGGTGTGTCATTGGGCGGTGGCGTCCTTAGCAACAAGTCAAGCCTTATGTGGAGGATTTTGTTGTTTTATTTCACTATCGTGGACAGAACTTAAGTAAGGTAAAGTTGAAAGGAGATGTATTGTGGTACTCGACTGTGTTTATAAAAGGAAATTTCAGGTTAGATAACTGTGGTATTGATTATTGCCTCCCTTTGTGGGTATTTATAGTTGTGCACGCTTTGAAGTCAGTTCGATGAGTGTGAACTGTATTCAATGGGTGACAGAAAGCACAGGTAGATGGTTTATAAGTTAAGGGCTGAGTTTTACATAAAGGTAAAGTAATCTATATTTAATACGAACTATTTTTATTAACTTTACTGCTAATGAAAAAAATAGATCGGTAAAAGAAAAAGATAAATGATTTTTTAACAATATAAACTAATTCTGTTTATAACCTGTGCATGGAATTTTTAATTTTTGACCATGCGCTATCTATATATATAATTCTCTTCTTCGAGCCGTTAGAAAACAAGCTGCAAACGCTCTCCCTACCTCCCCACCCCTACATGGTTTTAGTGAGCTGTGTTCACTCTAAATGTTTACAAGCAGAGCCAACGATTTTAAACGTAGGGGGGGAGGGGGGGGGGAGGAAAGGGGGGGGGGTTATGGTCCTTAACGAGCTACTTATAGTGTTTTAAAGAAATATTTTCAGTGTCAGCGTTGGTACTGTCGAATTCACAAATTATGAATTATTGAAAATTAGAAACATCTAAATAGCGGCGTATGTTATGCCGCGGGCCGGCTCGTTGTTATTATTGTAATAAAAAACGAGATAACCATCAACGCCTTCTGGTCCGACCACTTGAAATTTGTTAGGAGCTATACACTACAAATGATAACCAGTAAAATATAATATTATTCAGTATAATGCAGATATAAAGCATTCTATATTAGTCTACAATTTTGTTTCTATCATAATAAAAATTGAAAACAATCGCCAACGTAAAAATACTTTCTAGACATCGCCATAATTTCCCGTAACTTTTACTGACTTTTGGTTACCATCTCCAGAGTTATCGGTCCTGGATTACCCCATCAGTAAGCCCCGCTTGGGGCCATTTTGGTGATGTTAGTCTTTAGTCCTGGTATTCAGTAGACTTTGGGAGAACTCTTTTACGATCAATGTATGCGTTCAATATTAATTCCATACGACATATGTATGCGTTCAATTATAATTCCATACGATATATGTATGCGTTCAATTTTAATTCCATACGATATATGTATGCGTTCAATTTTAATTCCATACGATATATGTATGCGTTCAATTTTAATTCCATACGATATATGTATGCGTTCAATTATAATTCCATACGATATATGTATGCGTTCAATTTTAATTCCATACGATATATGTATGCGTTCAATGTTTATTCCATACGATATATGTATGCGTTCAATTTTTATTCCATACGATATATGTATGCGTTCAATTTTAATTCCATACGATATATGTATGCGTTCAATTTTAATTCCATACGATATATGTATGTGTTCAATTTTAATTCCATACGATATATGTAAGTGTTAAACGTTTGATTCCTTAAGATAAATGTATGTGTTAAAAGGTTTTTTTTACTAACGATAAATGAACGTGTTTAAGTTTGATTCCATTGGATAATTGAATGTGTTAAAAAGTTTCATTCCACATGATATACGTGTATGTTTAAAGTGTAATTTCATATGATAAATGTGTTAGTTTAAAGTTTTACGCCATAACTTCAATGTAGGCCTATGTTTAAAAGCTTGATTCCATAGGATATATTTGTATGATTAAAGGGTAATTTCATATGATAAATGTGTATGTTTAAAGTTTTATTCCATAACATAACTGTTTAAAAGTTTGACTCCATACAATAAATACGTATTTCAAGTTTCATTCCAAAAGTTTTGACAAACATTTCTGAAATTTTAAAACTACTGTAGCATCACTTTAACAGAGCTAACTTTAATGTTAAATCATCTTTTTTAGGCATTGTGTTACACATTTGCGATATGGAAAATAATATGTACCAAGCTTTAAACGATAAATATCAACTGTTGAAAAAGTTATGTGTACATCTGTAGGCATATTACTTTTTCTTTCCTGTACTAATTTATGTGTGTGTTTGTGATTTTGCGTTTGGGTGAGCTCCGTTAGCGTTTTTTGTGTGTGAATACTTGTGCCTGTCAACTTGTATGTGTGTGTGCAAGCGTGTGTGTGTGTGCATGTCTGTGCCTGTGCGTGGGTGGGTGTGTTTTTGTGAGCGCGCACGTATTGCACCCGTCTATAATACACTGTTTTGCTTTATCGATTCATTAAAATATATTCCATATGCCAGTTAGTGAGAACTAGTTTCTATTGCTTCAGCGCTTGACATCTATTCCCAAAGTATATCCATCAAAATGACATCTATTCCCAAAGTATATCCATCAAAATGACATCTATTCCCAAAGTATATCCATCAAGATGACATCTATTCCCAAAGTATATCCATCAAAATGACATCTATTCCCAAAGTATATCCATCAAAATGACATCTATTCCCAAAGTATATCCATCAAGATGACATCTATTCCCAAAGTATATCCATCAAGATGACATCTATTCCCAAAGTATATCCATCAAGATGACATCTATTCCCAAAGTATATCCATCAAGATGACATCTATTCCCAAAGTATATCCATCAAGATGACATCTATTCCCAAAGTATATCCATCAAGATGACATCTATTCCCAAAGTATATCCATCCAGATCTAGATTTTAAAAATAACGTTTATAGTTTTATATAAATACAGAAACTACCAATATCCGGTGCATATTTTTATTTCCCCACACATAAGAAACCCCTATTGTTGTAAATTCTGTGTTGTTGGTTGTTTTTTTTTAACTCTCATCGATCTCTCGTTATTTAGACCCACCGTTTTAGTCCTCACACACAACAATAGCTTGATCGATACTTTTAATAATGGTGCATTATTCATTACATTATAAATGTGCATGACTTCCAGTAATGTTCATAAGACCAGTAAATGCAATATCTAGCAAGGGCATTAAAAACAGCATACAATCTTTCAGTACATTTTTATAGCCTTTCACACGTGTGTTCCACTTGGCGACTTCTCCATTATTTTACAAGAACCTAGTTTAACATCCTGTTCATGTAAAAAATATTCACTTGTCAAAGAAGGTTTCGATAAGGGCAATATCGTTCAAATGTTAGAGTGAATGCAAGTCCCAGTATGCATTAGTTAACACATACACAAATATACATATATATATATATATATATATATATATATATATATATATATATATATATATATATATATATATATATATATATATACAATTATATGTACGTGTATACTTATAAAATGTTTGTATACATACCATCATCATCTTTTTGCTTGTGCTCAAGATACAAGGGACAGATGATGTAGAGTTCTCCTATTGCTGTGACCACGATATATGAAGGGATAGCGGGGTCAACACTAACGTGAGTTGAGTACCCATTAGAGCTGGGTGAACTGAGGGGCGTCCCACACACCGGGATCCGACCTTGAGGTTTCTGGCTTGCATTCGTATATCTACCATCATGTACCATCACGTATATAAGCATACACACACACACCTATATATATATATATATATATATATATATATATATATATATATATATATATATATATATATATATATATATATATATATATATATATATATATGCCTATATACAAGTCAAACTGAGGCGAAGACCGCCATGTTCACGCAACACATTTTTAGCACGTCGATAACAAAAACATGTTCTACTCGAATAACAAATCGATTTGCTCGTGGTTCGATCGACGTTTAATTCCTCCATGTTAATTTTCAAATGTTGGTTGACATTTGACACTGTGCAGGATCTGGCTCTATCGCACCATGACTTCACGCGTGACAGGGTTTTTTTATCGCTGATCTGCTGTAAAATATAGTTCGTTTTTAATGACATATGGTTATGGTGTTGTCAAGGACTTCAGCATACGACTGCTAACACGAAAGTCTCGAATACGTATGCGGAGCTCACCCCCCCCCCACCCCTCCGATTAAAATGGAATTTATGAATTTATATAGAAAATATATACTTTTAACAGTGTCCTACCCCCCCGCGCCCGAAAATTTCAAGTGTTCCCCTGTAGAAAAAATTCTTCTGGATTCAAGTCTGTAGAACGTCCCTGAGTACACCCAGCACTAATGGCTACCTAACTCACGTTTTCGATTGTAAAGGCGGCTGGGCATAATGCTGACCACGCTATACCTTCATATACCGAGGTCACAAAAACAGGCGAACTAACTCTACTTCACTTGTCCCATGGACCATCAGGTTCAATGCAACTTTACTTTATTTTTTATATATATATATATATATATATATATATATATATATATATATATATATATATATATATATATATATATATATATATGTATATATATATATATATATATATATATATATATATATATATATATATATATATATATACATACATATATATATATATATAATATTGAAAACTAAACTCATCAAATGTAACACTGTCAATTGTCTGTTTACCCTACATAGTGTAGCAGACCTGGCAATGGTTGTGACCCAAATTGTGGTGCTGACTTTGTCTGTGGTGTTTATTGACGCGAGTAAGTATCGATGTCATGTCAAGGCTTAGGCCTGAAGTATTACACATTATCCCAGTCTATCTAAATATGTTCTGTTATGAGGATACCACAATATGCATCGATATTTAGCTGATAGATCATCTATGAAACATGTATTTAACTTTACAGATGTGTCCCTGGTGTTTTCGTTAAGATTGCCAGTTTTATTAAATTAAAACGTGATTGTCTTTTGTCTACATTTATTGTCTTACATTGATTAGCAATAGATCTTTCTCTGTCTCATTCTCTGACTTTTTCTCTACCTCTCTTGTTCTATCTCACTCTATCTCATTCCTATTCATTATCACTGTCTTTCTCTCTTCTCTCTCACTATCCCGTGATCTCTCTCTCTCTAACACCGACTCTCACATTCACTCTTTATCTTATCTCTATCATTCACAAACTAACATCTCCATTCACATTCTCTTTTCTTATCACTCCTCGTCTCTCTCACATAAGCCATCATTCACTCTCTCTCTCTCTTCTTATATCTCTCTTTATCTCTCTCCTTATCTCTCTCATTATCTCTCTCCTTATCTTTTTCCATATCTTTCTTCCTTATCTCTTTCTCCTTATCTTTCTCTATCTCTCTCCTAATCTCTCCTCTCTCCATATCTCTCTCCCCATCTCTACTTGACTTGCTCTACCCCAGATGTCTACTTGACTCTCCCCATCTCTACTTGTCTCTCGCTATCCCAGATGTCTACTTGACTCTCCCCATCTCTATTTGACACTCTCCCCATCTCTACTTGTCTCTCTCCCCATGTCTACTTGTCTCTCCCCATTTCTACGTGTCTCTCCCCTCATCTCTACTTGACTCTCCCCATCTCTACTTGTCTCTCTCTGCCCCAGATGTCTACTTGACTCTCCCCATCTCTTTTTGACACACTCCTCATCTCTACTTGTCTCTCTCTCTACCTCAGATGTCTACTTGTCTCTCCCCATCTCTACTTGTCTCTCTCCATCTCTACTTGACTCTCCCCATCTCTACTTGACTCTCCCCATCTCTGCTTGACTCTTTCCCCATCTCTACTTCTCTCTCTCCCCATCTCTACTTGTCTCTCTCCATCTCTACTTGACTCTCCCCATCTCTACTTGACTCTCCCCATCTCTGCTTGACTCTTTCCCCATCTCTACTTCTCTCTCTCCCCATCTCTACTTGTCTCTCCCCATCTCTACTTGTCTCTCTCTACCCCAGATGTCTACCCGTCCAGCAGGATCGTCTACTACCTCCACACCACCCCCGCCTCCTGGGTGGGTGCCAGAGATTCCTGCAACCGTTACGGAGGTCACCTGGTCAAGGTCGTCGAGTCGGATGACCTGAGGGCGGACATCATCACAGTGGACACGTTCCTCGAGTGGAAGGGGGCGTACAGCAGGTTAGGTCTTTACAGCAGGTTAGGTCTTTACAGCACGTTAGGTCTTTTGGCGTACGGCAGGTTAGGTCTTTAGCGTACAGCAGGTTAGGTCTTTGGCGTACGGCAGGTTAGGTCTTTAGCGTACAGCAGGTTAGGTCTTTAGGCGTACAGCAGGTTAGGTCTTTTGGCGTACAGCAGGTTAGGTCTTTAGCGTACAGCAGGTTAGGTCTTTACAGCAGGTTAGGTCTTTTGGCGTACGGCAGGTTAGGTCTTTAGCGTACAACAGGTTAGGTCTTTTGGCGTACGGCAGGTTAGGTCTTTAGCGTACAGCAGGTTAGGTCTTTAGGCGTACCGCAGGTTAGGTCTTTTGGCGTACAGCAGGTTAGGTTTTAGCGTACAGCAGGTTAGGTCTTTACAGCAGGTTAGGTCTTTTGGCGTACGGCAGGTTAGGTCTTTAGCGTACAGCAGGTTAGGTCTTTAGGCGTACAGCAGGTTAGGTCTTTTGGCGTACAGCAGGTTAGGTCTTTAGCGTACAGCAGGTTAGGTCTTTAGGCGTACAGCAGGTTAGGTCTTTAGGCGTAGAGCAGGTTAGGTCTTTAAAGCAGGTTAGGTCTTTAAAGCAGGTTAGGTCTTTATGTGTACAGCAGGTTAGGTCTTTAGGCGTACAGCAGGTTAGGTCTTTAGCGTACAGCAGGTTAGGTCTTTATGCGTACAGCAGGTTAGGTATTTTGGCGTAGAGCAGGTTAGGTCTTTAAAGCAGGTTAGGTCTTTAAAGCAGGTTAGGTCTTTATGCGTACAGCAGGTTAGGTCTTTTGGCGTACGGCAGGTTAGGTCTTTAGCGTACAGCAGGTTAGGTCTTTAGGCGTACAGCAGGTAAGGTCTTTTGGCGTACAGCAGGTTAGGTCTTAAGCGTACAGCAGGTTAGGTCTTTAGGCGTACAGCAGGTTAGGTCTTTAGGCGTAGAGCAGGTTAGGTCTTTAAAGCAGGTTAGGTCTTTAAAGCAGGTTAGGTCTTTAGACGTACAGCAGGTTAGGTCTTTAGGCGTACAGCAGGTTAGGTCTTTAGCGTACAGCAGGTTAGGTCTTTAGGCGTACAGCAGGTTAGGTCTTTAAAGCAGGTTAGGTCTTTAAAGCAGGTTAGGTCTTTATGCGTACAGCAGGTTAGGTCTTTAGGCGTACAGCAGGTTAGGTCTTTTGGCGTACGGCAGGTTAGGTCTTTAGCGTACAGCAGGTTAGGTCTTTAGGCGTACAGCAGGTTAGGTCTTTTGGCGTACAGCAGGTTAGGTCTTTAGCGTACAGCAGGTTAGGTCTTTACAGCAGGTTAGGTCTTTTGGCGTACGGCAGGTTAGGTCTTTAGCGTACAACAGGTTAGGTCTTTTGGCGTACGGCAGGTTAGGTCTTTAGCGTACAGCAGGTTAGGTCTTTAGGCGTACCGCAGGTTAGGTCTTTTGGCGTACAGCAGGTTAGGTTTTAGCGTACAGCAGGTTAGGTCTTTACAGCAGGTTAGGTCTTTTAGCGTACGGCAGGTTAGGTCTTTAGCGTACAGCAGGTTAGGTCTTTAGCGTACAGCAGGTTAGGTCTTTAGGCGTACAGCAGGTTAGGTCTTTAGGCGTAGAGCAGGTTAGGTCTTTAAAGCAGGTTAGGTCTTTAAAGCAGGTTAGGTCTTTATGTGTACAGCAGGTTAGGTCTTTAGGCGTACAGCAGGTTAGGTTTTTAGCGTACAGCAGGTTAGGTCTTTATGCGTACAGCAGGTTAGGTATTTTGGCGTAGAGCAGGTTAGGTCTTTAAAGCAGGTTAGGTCTTTAAAGCAGGTTAGGTCTTTATGCGTACAGCAGGTTAGGTCTTTTGGCGTACGGCAGGTTAGGTCTTTAGCGTACAGCAGGTTAGGTCTTTAGGCGTACAGCAGGTTAGGTCTTTTGGCGTACAGCAGGTTAGGTCTTAAGCGTACAGCAGGTTAGGTCTTTAGGCGTACAGCAGGTTAGGTCTTTAGGCGTAGAGCAGGTTAGGTCTTTAAAGCAGGTTAGGTCTTTAAAGCAGGTTAGGTCTTTAGACGTACAGCAGGTTAGGTCTTTAGGCGTACAGCAGGTTAGGTCTTTAGCGTACAGCAGGTTAGGTCTTTAGGCGTACAGCAGGTTAGGTCTTTAAAGCAGGTTAGGTCTTTAAAGCAGGTTAGGTCTTTAAGCGTACAGCAGGTTAGGTCTTTAGGCGTACAGCAGGTTAGGTCTTTAGCGTACAGCAGGTTAGGTCTTCAGGCGTACAGCAGGTTAGGTCTTTAGGCGTAGAGCAGGTTAGGTCTTTAAAGCAGGTTAGGTCTTTAAAGCAGGTTAGGTCTTTATGCGTACAGCAGGTTAGGTCTTTAAAGCAGGCTAGGTCTATAGGCGTACAACAGGTTAGGTATTTAGGCGTACAGCAGGTTAGGTCTTTAGCGTACAGCAGGTTAGGTCTTTTGGCGTACGGCAGGTTAAGTCTTGGGGCGTACAGCATGTTAGGTCTTTTGGCGTACAGCAGGTTAGGTCTTTAGACGTACAGCAGGTTAGGTCTTTAGGCGTACGGCAGGTTAGGTCTTTGGGGCAAATAGCAGGTTAGGTCTTTACAGCAAGTTATGTCTTTACAGCAGGTTAGGTCTTTTAGGCGTACAGCAGGTTAGGTCTTTAAAGCAGGTTAGCTCTTTAGGCGTACAGCAGGTTAGGTCTTTAGGTGTACAGCAGGTTAGGTCTTTAGCGTACAACAGGTTAGGTCTTTAGGCGTACAGCAGGTTAGGTCTTTAGGCGTACAGCAGGTTAGATCTTTAGGCGTACGGCAGGTTAGGTCTTTGGGCGTACAGCAGATTAGGTCTTTATGCGTACAGCAGGTTATGTCTTTAGACGTCTTTACAGCAGGTTAGGTCTCTAGGTGTACAGCAGGTTAGGTATTTACAGCAGGTTAGGTCTTTGGGCATACAGCAGGTTAGGTCTTTAGGTGTACAGCAGGTTAGGTCTTTAGGTTGACAGCAGGTTAGGTCTTTAGGAGTATAGCAGGTTAGGTCTTTAGGCGTACAGCAGGTTAGGTCTTTACAGCAGGTTAGGTCTTTTGGCGTACAGCAGGTTAGGTCTTTAGGTTGACAGCAGGTTAGGTCTTTAGGTTGACAGCAGGTTAGGTCTTTAGGTTGACAGCAGGTTAGGTCTTTAGGTGTACAGCATGTTAGGTCTTTACAGCAGGTTAGGTCTTTACAGCAGGTTAGGTCTTTAGGCGTACAGCAGGTTAGGTCTTTGTGTCGTTTAGTTAGTTAGGTCTTTGGGGCAAATCAGGTTGGGGCTATCAGGTTATGTCTTATGGGCGTTTAGCAGGTTAGGTCCTAGCGACAAGCATGTTAGGTATGGGGGCAAACAGGCTAGGTCTATGAGGCGCTTAGAAGATTGTCTTTGTGACGTTTAGCAGATCAAGTAGGTTAAGTTTTTGAGGTGGTTAGCAGGTTCAGTCTAAGGGGAGTTCTTCTGGTTAGGTCTTTGGTGCGTTTAGCAGATTAGGTCTTCTATGTTACAGATAGGAGCGTTTACAAAGTTTTAAACACAATGAAAAAAATATTTTAAAGATTTAAGTCAAACTTTCTTAGCTTTATCATCTATACCACCCATTTCCTCACCCCCCCCCCCCGGCCTCACCATCTATACCACCCATCCCTCCCCAGCCTTGCACCACCCATCCCCCCAGCCTCACCATCTACACCACTCATCCTCCAGTCTCACCATCTCTACCATCTTTCCCAGCCTCACTATCTCTACCATCTCTCCCAGCCTTACCATCTCTACCATCTCTCCCAGCCTCACCATCTCTACCATCTCTCCCAGCCTCACCATCAATACCATCTCTCCCAGCCTCACCATCTCTACCATCCCCCAGCCTCACCATCTCTACCATCTCTCCCAGCCTCACCATCTCTACCATCTCTCCCAGCCTCACCATCTCTACCATCCCCCCAGCCTCACCATCTCTACCATCTCTCCCAGCCTCACCATCTCTACCATCCCCCCAGCCTCACCATCTCTACCATCTCTCCCAGCCTCACCATCTCTACCATCTCTCCCAGCCTCACCATCTCTACCATCTCTCCCAGCCTCACCATCTCCACCATCTCTCACCAGCCTGACCTCCGATGTCTGGACCGGCCTCTACAAATACCTGGACACCAACACCAGCAGCGACCAACTCATGTGGCACAGCTGCGACCCCTTCTCCCCCCTGACGGACACCAACTCTGGTATCGGTGCCTCCCTCAGGGCCAGCCCACACTACTGCACCAGCATGGATCACGACTACAAGCTGCAGGCCACGAACTGCACGAAGGAGCTGCCGTACATCTGCCAGATCGACGAAGGTGATTGGTTAGTTGTGTTAGAAGATGGAAGGTGGTTGGTTAGTTGCGATAGAATGTGATTGGTTAGTTGTGTTAGAAGATGGAAGGGGATTGGTTAGTTGTGTTAGAAGATGGAAGGGGATTGGTTAGTTGTGTTAGAAGATGGAAGGCGATTGGTTAGTTGTGTTAGAAGGTGGAAGGGGATTGGTTAGTTGTGTTAGAAGATGGAAGGGGATTGGTTAGTTGTGTTAGAAGATGGAAGGCGATTGGTTAGTTGTGTTAGAAGGTGGAAGGGGATTGGTTACTTGAGATAGAATGTGATTGGTTAGTTGTGTTAGAAAATGGAAGGTAATTGGTTAGTTGTGTTAGAAGATGGAAGGTGATTGGTTAGTTGTGTTAGAAGATGGAAGGTGATTGGTTAGTTGTGTTAGAAGATGGAAGGTGATTGGTTAGTTGTGTTAGAAGATGGAGGGTGATTGGTTAGTTGTGTTAGAAGATGGAAGGGGATTGGTTAGTTGTGTTAGAAGATGGAAGGTGATTGGTTAGTTGTGTTAGAAGATGGAAGGCGATTGGTTAGTTGTGTTAGAAGGTGGAAGGGGATTGGTTACTTGAGATAGAATGTGATTGGTTAGTTGTGTTAGAAAATGGAAGGTAATTGGTTAGTTGTGTTAGAAGATGGAAGGTGATTGGTTAGTTGTGTTAGAAGATGGAAGGTGATTGGTTAGTTGTGTTAGAAGATGGAAGGTGATTGGTTAGTTGTGTTAGAAGATGGAGGGTGATTGGTTAGTTGTGTTAGAAGATGGAAGGTGATTGGTTAGTTGTGTTATAAGATGGAGGGTGATTGGTTAGTTGTGTTAGAAGATGGAAGGTGATTGGTTACTTGAGATAAAATGTGATTGGTTAGTTGTGTTAGAAGATAGAAGGTGATTGGTTAGTTGTGTTAGAAGGTGGAAGGGGATTGATTAGTTGTGTTAGAAGGTGATTGGTTAGTTGTTTTAGAAAATGGAAGGTGATTGGTTAGTTGAGATCAAATTTGATTGGTATGTTGTGATAGAAGAATTATTATAATTGGTTAGTTTGATTTAGAAGACTGAAAATGATTGGCTAGTTGTGTTAGAAGATGGAAGGTGATTGGTTAGTTGTTTTAGAAGATGGAAGGTGATTGGTTAGTTGAGATAGAATGTGATTGGTTAGTTGTGTTAGAAGATAGATAGTGATTGGTTAGTTGTGTTAGAAGATGGAAGGTGATTGGTTAGTTGTGTTAGAAGATGGAAGGTGATTGGTTAGTTGTGTTAGAAGATGGAGGGTGATTGGTTAGTTGAGATAGAATGTGATTGGTTAGTTGTGTTAGAAGATGGAAGGTGATTGGTTAGTTGTGTTAGAGGAAGGATGGTGATTGGTTAGTTGTGTTAGAAGATGGAAGGTGATTGGTTAGTTGTGTTAGAATGGGATTGGTTAGTTGTGTTAGAAGATGAAAGGTGATTGGTTACTTGAGATAAAATTTGATTGGTATGTTGTGATAGAAGAATTATTATGATTGGTTTGTTTGATTTAGAAGACTGAAGATGATTGGCTAGTTGTGTTAGAAGATGGAAGGTGATTGGTTAGTTGTGTTAGAAGATGGAAGGTGATTGGTTAGTTGTGTTAGAAGATGGAAGGTGATTGGATAGTTGTGTTAGAAGAAGGAAGGTGATTGGTTACTTGAGATAAAATGTGATTGGTTAGTTGTGTTAGAAGATGGAAGGTGATTGGTTAGTTGTGTTAGAAGATGGAAGGTGATCGGTTACTTGAGATAGAATGTGATTGGTTAGTTGTGATAGAAGAATTATGATGATTGGTTAGTTTGATTTAGAAGACTGAAGATGATTGGATAGTATGTAAAAAATTAAATGAAGATGATTGGTTTTTTCCTTTTGAAGGAAGTAGGTTTTTAAGACGTGTGTTAGACTGACGTTGTTGTTGTGTGACTTATGTTAGACTGAAGAAGTTGTTTGGTAAGATGCCGCATATTTGCCTAAGTTTCAGATCATCTTTACATTATCTTCAGTTCTTAAAATTTTTAAATTAAACGACACACTTTTTACCCGTTAAAAGGACATTATTTTTTTCTAATATTTGTTTCTCAATATATGTTCACATATTTTGTTTTCATAAAAATTGAAACTTTATTCTTATAACTAAAATAAAATCTCAAAGCTGAATTTTTTATTTTGTGTGTAACGAAATATGTTCGTGTCTGTCTTGTAGGTCAGTGTTGGTTTCTGCCTCTGGAGAACAAAGAGTTCAAAATAAACGCAACACAGAGCAACACAACGGAGGGGCTGAACGCATGCGCTCAGACGTGCAGGAATTTTGTGTCCGCTGCCGGTGTTGAGTGCTGGGGTTTTGTGGGTGAGTGATGGTGGTGTTGTGGTGCTGTGGTTTTATGGTGTTCATGTGTTGAGGTGTTGAGGTGTAGGGTGTGGTTTGATCGTGAGGGGTGTTGGTTACTGGGGGCTTGTGGGTGAGTGATGGTGGTGTTGTGGTGTAGGGTGTGGTCTTGATGGTGAGGGATGTTGGTTGTTGGGTCGATATAGTAAGTTATGTTTTTTTTTTAGGTTGTTTTGTTTCACAGTGGTGTTTAGGTTGTGTTGCTAGGTGGTGTTTAGGTTGTGTTGTTAGATGGTGTTTAGGTTGTGTTGCTGGATGGTGTTTAGGTTGTATTGTCAGATGGTGTTGAGGTATGTTAGTTGTTTGGTATTTGTGTCGTGTTGGTAACATAGAAGCGTCTTTGTGTCGTTAGTAAATGATGTTTTACCTCATTAC